TCTATCCGAACTACAGGGTACATCATGGGTTAGATATCCTCGACCACCGGTCTGTCCCCGGTAGCATCAAGGCCGTTATATAAGTTACCACAGGTTTATTTCTGTAATTTCACGACAGGCCCTCGTGATGCCACAGTAGTACAGTTTTTTACAAGCAAGAGACACTAGGGAACCGAGGTACCCTGAACTTGGTCTCGCGAGGGGTTCCCGTTCTATTGGGGTCTGGTGGGGTTCTCTCCCTGTTTTTATAAAACTGATCGTAAAAATGTTTTATGTAATTTGTCCTGGTGTTTCGAGCTTACGCAAAAATTGGTGGGTGACAATCTTATCTGAAATAAAGTTTTGAACCAACTATTGAATTCGGTAACCGTAAAAACCTTATTACAAGGGTCATTCCATGTCAAGTGGATCAATTTTCAGAAATAATATGGGAAATCGACCCCCTCAAAAAAATCTGTGAAAAAAATATATGTTATTGTACATGCAAAAAATAGAAACTGTGCAAAATTTGTGGTCTGTAGCTTAAAAATTGATTGAGATACGGGCATTTAAGTTTCATGAGTTACCGATAAGTTTTCGAAACAAAATATGTATCAATAATTTACTCAAGTTTCAGAAGTCCTCCATTGAAACTACTTTCAAATTCCCGGATTACCAACGGCGTTGCCCATGACGACGCCTTTGGAGAATCACAGAGTAAAATTGTTTTATCATAATTTCAAAGTCTGAAGCTTTTTTTCTCTCAAGTTTATCCGATTTCGCACTGAAAATTACCGGGTACTCAGTACAGCCCTCGCTAAAATTAACACCGTATCTGCAAGTGCCATCTATTGTATTTTCTATACACTAGAACATATTTCCACGTGTTTCAAAGCGGCAAACCGTAAAATTGCGGAGTGCATAGTGACAACGTGAATGACGTCTTTGCTGACCAAGACAGTGTGGAGAATTTCGAGACGGGTGATGCACATAATTCGTTTCCAGTTACTTGATAATGATAGTAGCCAGGACAGTGATTGGTAGTTTAAAGTGTGTGATTTGTTGCGCGACGTTACGCCTATGGCTATGTCTCCTGTGCATAATGAACAAGCCAAATGTGAACACGGTAGCCCTGTGTCTCCAGTAGATTCTGACGATAATTCTGATGTGATAATAATGCTTGTCAGCCTGGCCTGCTGGATCGTAAAAGACGTAGGCAATTCCTAAGTCCCGAACGTGATGATCTATTGACTGACTATATTGATAATGATATGGTCCTTGGGGATGAAAGTGAAAGTGATGGTGAAAACAAAGGTATTGCAATCCGCACGTGGTTATGGCAGCGGGAGACGTTGTCCGTGTGTTCGTGGTGGCATTGCTCGTGGCCGCTAATGATATGTTTGTTCATTTTATATATCTTTATCAAAATCCAGTGAAAAAAAAACAATATCCCATAAGACGTATTCATGGAGAAAAAATCGTTTTCCTCTTAGCTTTAGTGAGAAATGAGAAATCCAAAATGGCCGCCATGACGTCACATGAATGCTTGATTATGCAAATTTCCAAAATTCTATTTTTTTTTCTCTTAGCCCAACCTCATGACCATCCCAACACACAAAAAGAATTTCCATAAGTACTGTTTAGCATTTAGTTCCAAATCCCCTTTTCTCCTCAAAAAAGGAATTACGTCTAGCGTAACTTGCATACGGTTTTAAAAATCAGAATTTTTGTGCAGGCAGGTAAAGTGAAAAATAAAAATTTAAAGGAGCTAAATCGCTAATATTTGGCACCTAGTATTTTTTTTTTGTTTTTTTTTTGTAAACAATATTTATTCAGAAACTGAGGGGATTGGGGAACAGGCAAAGCCTATATAAACCCCTCTCCCGGTTACAAATAAATTACATAATATACAATATATTGAAAAAACAAAGAAGAAAAAAAAAGAAATAAATAAAAACCCAATAAAAATATGTACATATAAACATAAATTTGAAATAATTAAAACCAGCTATTTTTTTAAAATTTTAAATCTTTCAGTTTGTTAAATAAAATTATGTACCTGGCTAAATATTGACACGTTTTCGTCGTATGTTAGTGTTTCAGATCCATATAGTAGCACTTTAATGTTTTGATGTGTCGAAGGTAAAGTGTCGATTGTTCTATGGCGAGCATCTGAATACGTGGAACATATAAGGAGATAGTGACAAGGATCTTCTATTGAATTACTACATGAACATTCGGGAGTATTTAAAATATGTCTTGTAAATTTATGAAAATTTAGATTACTGCAGCCTAGTCTTAGTTTAGTATGTATAATTTGATTTTTACGTTTGCCAATATAATAAAAGAGAGGTATTTTCGGGTCATGTTTAGAGAGTTCTTGTTTAAATTTTGAGAGTGATAAGACATTTCTTAAGGACGGATTTAGGCTGTTCCAGAGTCGGATAGCTGATGGAAAGAATGAATTGTAATAGAGAGATGTTCTGCATGATATTTCATCTAATTCTGGTTTACTTCGAAGATTATATGGGGATGTTTTTAATTTAATGTGGTTTGATAAATAATTTGGAACCGTTCCATTAATAATTTTATATATTGTCTGTAATTTATGCCTTTTTCTTCTTTCATTCAAAGGAATAATACCAGTTTTCAGATAGAGTAAACGGTGGCTAGTTCCCTTTACAGCGACACAAATAGTGCGTAAGGCGTCAAGTTGAAGGTGTTCTAGTTGGTTCGCTAGGTGATCAGTGCAACTGTCCCAAATAATGTCGGCGTAGTCGAAATGCGGTAGTATATAAGAATTGTAAATTATGAAAAGAGATTTTCTATTTAGGCTGTACTTTAGGGATCTTAAACAATTGATTAATTTTGATACTTTATTACAAATATTATTTATGTGGATATTCCATTTAAGTTTGTGATGAAAGAAAAGACCCAAGTGCTTGTGATTTTGCACATCATTTATTTTAACAGTGTCAATAAAAAGTGGTGGTATGTTATTGTGTGGTTTGATAGATATTGTTAGTGATTCTGTTTTTGTGGGGTTGAAGGAAACTAGCCATTTTTTGGACCAGACGTTGATTTTCTCGATATCCGAATTCATTAATTTCGCACTTTCCGACGGATCTTTTATTAGCAAGTAGAGAGACGTGTCATCAGCAAACAATTTGATATTTGATTGAATATTTTCAATGATGTCATTAATGTAGATTAAAAATAAAAGCTGTCCGAGAACGGAGCCCCGTGGAACACCGGAAGTGACGAATGATGACCTAGAAATTGACACAAATGGGTTTTCGCAACGCATATAATAATGTAATATGAATGTATATAAACTGATTTACATTCAACCGTTTCCGTTTTACTGCAATTTCTAATCAGTTATGTTCGGCGAATTACGCCAGACTTAAGTCTCAATGGGATGGCAATCTCTAGCGTCTGGTTATTCTAGTCTAAATCAGTAGTATTTATTGCGCATGCTCTCCAGATAAGAATACGGCGTCACCGTTTGACATGACTTGTGAAATATGTCAAGCCTCGTTATTCGAGTCTCTTGTTACAAATGGCACTGAAACGCATTATGGTACACGATTCCTGTTTGAGCTGATATGGTATGGCCCCAAAGTAAATAAACACACCACTTCTGAACCAAAAATCCCCTGGGTTCCTACTCCAGAACAGGTTCCAAATTGAACACATCACAAAATCCCGGTAGAACCAGTTCTGGAGTAGAAATCAAAGTTGTCCGCCATATTTGAAATAAACCTGTCTACCGGGGTCAGTAGGGGGCGTTCTGAAGTGAAGAAACCAGGTGATTTTTCTTCTGAAGGGCACTTTTTATTTATAGGTCAGTTGTGGCACCATGCTCACGAATCAAAGTTGTCCGTCATATTTGAAATAAACCTGTCTGGGGTCAGTAGGGGCGTTCTGAAGTGAAGAAACCAGGTGATATTTTCTTCTGAGGGCACTTTTTATTTATAGGTCACTTGTGGCACCATGCTCACGAAAGAAGAATTTTGTCCGCAATACTTGAAACAAATCAGTCTAGCTTCTACTAGTTCTACCGGGATTATTTGTTCTGAAGTTGTGTTTGATTTACTTTGGGACCATACATATATGAGCTGAAAAGGGAATCAAAGTTGTCCGTCATATTTGTAATAAACCTACGTACTCGGGTCACTACCTATATAGGGGTCGTTCTGTTAAGCCAAAAGCCAGGGGATTTTTTGTTCTGAAGGGCACTTTTAAAGTTTGCCGTACCAATGTGAAATGTTGCGAAGATTAACTTTGTCCGCAAAAATTTGAATTAAATCGACTTTTTACGCGATTTCGGGACAGCCTCTAAACCCAGGGGATGTGCAACTTCTCCGTTAGGCATAGTGCCAATTTTGTCCTCGAGTTTAGGAACAACGGTCAGCTAGCTCCCCTATTATGACTACATGTAATGGATATAACATTTAAAATCACACTCGGCAAACCTCAGCAGATTCCAGTACCTTTCATCTAGATATAGGGTACCTGAATCTGCCAATTACCCGAGGTTTGCCGCGTTACGTTCTCCCAAACGCTTGGCCACAGATCACTAATATGATTTCCCCATTGACTTAGACCGGCTCTAACTTTTTCCTAAATTTTCATGGATGGAGCACCATGGAAAACTTGAGATACACAAGCTGGAAGTAGAAACAAGTAGGTCTAAACATGCAATTTTTGACCCTACATTTCAACCTAACCCTGCAACCTCTCAACTCTAGTATCTTTCCGCCTCAAAATCATGAATATTCACCAAAACCTGGCAGAAAATGTATTTTCAAACCCTTTTCTTCCATTCTACAAAAAAATCGCCATGCAAAAGAGGGAAAAAGGGAAAGGGAGAGAAAGAATAAATGTGACGGCGTAGAAATATTTGGTGAGCTGTGTCCGCTTGGATCCACTCGGCAAACCTCGACAGTAGGGTACCGGAATCTACCGAGGTTTGCCGAGTGCGCTTGGATCTTGCAGACAGCGACTTCCGTTCCGCCTTCCGGTTTATCTCCCCCTTCGCAGTGTTTATCAAGTTTCGAGAAATCGGAGACAAGATTATTACAGGAGTCATGGTAATGGATTCAACGTAGATAATTTAAAGACTGTGATCCCAAGGGTGGATATTATTGTATTTTCCAAATCACTTAATCAAGTTAATGTGACTTTCTTCCAACAACAACCATAAAAAAAAGTATTGACAATTCGGCCGCCAGGTGTCTTGTGTCACGTTGTCAAGTCATTTTTTGGCTGATTCGTTTCGGGTTATAATAACATTAGCCATTTAAGTGCAACTAAACTTATTTTGTGAATTAATCTGCAGGGGCGATCGCATTTAATAACTAATAGCTTCAAGGTGGAGGTAATGGCTGCAAATGGTCGCGGAGGGATGAGGCCTTCTGGTAGATCCCCACCTTTTTTGCTCATCGGTTTGACTGTTGTCTTGTGTATCGTAGGTTTCAATTATTGGAATGTCTCATCAAGAAATAGTCACTTATCGACGGATCTAACTGCACTAAAAGATCAAATGAGATCGCAAACAGCAATGAGAATTAATGCAGAGAAAAGAAGTGAAAATGCAGCATCCAGAATAAGAGACTGTGAGGAGAACCAAAGTAGATTGAAGCAAATGTTCGATGAAAATAAAATGTCAATAAAGAAATCAAAGGATCGTTTAAACACCAAAGAATCTGAGTTACAGAGTACTGCTACAGATCTGAAAAGATGTCAAGATGATAAAGTAAGTCTGGTTGTGGATTACGGGCCAAATGTACAAATCCTACAGGACGGAGGGCCTGACAATGACAGCTGTCTAGTCGTTCGGATGGCATGGAAAAAATGAGGTACCATGTATACAATGGTATGCACATAAAAGATCCCTTGGCAGTAGGAATTTGATATAAGAATAGGCCATAGTGCCACTACCCAGGCAAAATTTCCCTTATAGTACACTGTATGACATATGCCTGTCTTCATTAGCCCAGTATAGGAGCAGAACAGTAGGACGTTAAACCCCATTTCATTTCATTTCATTTATTATAATATGTGACCCCCCCACAGCATACTGAGTCACAATGAGGAAATTTTGAAAATTGAGTTATTGTTATTTTCACATTCTCCAACTCATTACCTTCAATTTGATGTATAGTTTGTTTGAATTGGGCAAAAATTGACTGAGCTGTGTCCATTAGAAGCTACCCAACTCACAAAAGTAAGTTTTGAGAAAAAGCAAGTCAAAGATTTGGTATGTTCCAAAACAAAATCCCATTGCAACCAGGCCATTTATCTGCTGTTTTGTCGTTGAATATATCTTTCCATGGGTTTCCTGGGGTGCTGAAGACGAAAATCGTAGTAAAAATTTGATCTGACTATTTCCGCAATTTATTTGCTATATTTTGTCGTTTAATATGTTTTTTATTTAGAATTTCAAGGGTGCTAACGACGAAAATCGTAATAAATGCACTTCTTTCGTAACGAAACATCCAAAATACATACGGCATAATATTCACATGATAGTGTTATACTGAAGAACAATCTATACATTAGTAGTCTGTTGTGTATAATATAACTTTAGTGAGATTAACTCAGTTAATCTCATCAACTAATTAGCACCTTAGTGCCAGCTAGTGGTCAGGAGATTAAGATTGTTGATTGGATAATCATCAAAGAAGCCGCCACAGCTGTACGGTAGTTCATTTAACACGTGAATTAAATTAAGATTTTGCATGTACGATAGGTTTATTATTGTTTTCAGGTACCGTGACGTTATCAAAATATGAGTCCCTATAGAAATGTCAATTTCATAGTCAAGAAATGCTTACGTTCACTCAATGGCAGACTGAGAATCGTCGCATTTCGGCTCGTTGGTCGTTTTCTTTTTTTCGACCCATTGTGATAAGAGAATTTTAAACAATAATATCCCAGATGCATTCCTTACTTTGCATGCCGTATGAAGAAGCGACGGTAAACGGTATTCTTCTATCAATAAAATTCTCTTCGAAAAGAAAATTATTGGCCATTTTGTTTATTTCCATTTAAGGCCTATAGATTATTTTTTTAAAGATGATATGAGATATCAAATAATCACCACTTGGATTAATTATTCGGAGTAAATAATGAGTTGTCGACGGCTTTATCATTGACCCGTGACAGTTGATTAGTAATAGTATTACTCAATGACACACACCCGCTTGTTGATTAGTTTACATCATCAGCCACGTGGTTTCGATTAACACTCAACGGCAATCTCTACGATCAGAATTTTTTTTTTCTGCCACTTATCAGAGTGAATCGCATGTAAGTACCCAAAAACATTATCGCCAAAACCAAATATTTATGGATAATGTCTTGCACGCGGTGTCTGGGCCAATCAGCAAAGGAGTTGGGTGAACAGCATGGCAACAGGCAGAGTTAATTTATATTTTTGGAGGGTTTTAAAACTCGATTGTATCCGTTCAAAATCAATTCATCGAGAATATTTTGATCATATTTATAAACTAGAGATGCTCCGCTTTACAACGATGCCAATTGTTATGCAAGAGGAATGACCGGTCGTCCCGCTGCGAGCGAGACAAATAACTAATTTCGCCGAGAATTTTAAGAAATAGGACAGATTTAAGAATATGGTACTCTTACAAAACGTTCAAATACAGGTGTTTTAAAATGTTTTATTGCTTTTTTGATCTTCTGTGTCGATAGATAGTATATTTATAGACTCATTTTTGTGAAAATCTCAATTTCGTTCAAAATCAATATTTTCACTTATTTTGTCTTTATCTCATTATTGATTCTCCCACCTTCCAACTCATTTAGATGCGGTAGGTCACATATACATGTACGTCCACAGGACATATATTGCCGTTGCCCCTGTCTGTGTGTGTGTCTGTGTGTCGCCTACAGGCCACAATTCTTGAGTGATCATCTTGAAACTTTACATACTTATTCCTTATACTTATACTCTAAGGATGATTCCTATTGTTTTTGGTGCATGCCCGACCCCCAGGTTCAGAGCCACGTCCATTTCTTGTATTTGTTTGTAGCCTACAGGCCGCATTTCTTAATGCATCATCTTGAAACTTTGCATACTTATTCCTTGTACCCTAAGGAACATCCCTATCTTTTGAGGTGTATGCCCAACCCCCAGGGGCAGAGCCACGCTCATTTTCTTTTTGTGTGTGTGTCACCTACAGGCCACAATTCTTAATCGATCTACTTGAAAAAATTTCATATGAATTCTTTATACCCTAAGGATGATCCCTATTGTTTTTGGTGCATGCCCGAACCGCAGTGGCAGAGCCCCGCCCATTTCTTATATTTATTTGTTTTATCATCTACAGACTGCATTTCGTAACATATAACCTTGAAACTTTGCATACTTATTCCTTCTATCCTAAGGAACACCCCTATTGTCTGTGATGAATGCCCAACCCCCAGGGGCAGAGAGAGAGAGAAATGGGGTTTAACGTCCACTCGACACAAACTAGGTCATTTCGGGACTAACATATGGTTTAATTTTATTTACATAATTCGCTTGCGCGTAGGGGTCTTTAGCAGTGGGAGGAAACTGGAGGACCCGGAGAAAACCCACGAGGTTGGACAGGCGACCCTACTCCTTGCCACGTACAACCGGGGATTCGAAACCAAGCCAGTCGACTCAATGACAGACTTTATGATACAGCGTGCGCACGCTAACCATTCAGCCATCCAAACACCCCCCCCCCCCCCCGGGGCAGAGCCACGTCCATTTTCTTGTGTGTGTGTGTGTCACAGCCTGCAATGCTTAATCGATCATCTTGAAAACTTTTTTATACTTATTCCTTATACCCCAATGTTTGTGTGTCTTGTGTTTCGCCTACAGGCCACAATTTTTACAGATCCTTTTGAAACTTTGCATACCCATTACTTATACCCTAAGGATGCCCCCTATTGTTTTTTGGTGATTGCCCAACCCCCAGGGGCAGAGTCTCACCGATTTTTTCTTTGTGACTCTGTGTGTTGCCTACAGGCCATGATTCTTAATGGATCATCTTTGAACTTGGGATATGTATTCCTTATAGCCTAAGGACGAAAACTGAATGTCCCAACCCCCCAGGGGCAGAGCCACGCCCAATTTTTGTGTTTATCATTTACAGGCCGCGATTCTGAATGGATCAACTTTGTACTTGGCATATGTAGGCCTATACCTTATAGCAAAGGTCGTCCCGCGTCAACTATTAATTTTGGTGAATGCCCCCATCCCCAGGGACAGAGCCACGCCCAATTTTTGCCTTTAGTGTTCAAAGGCCACAATTCTGAATGGATAATCTTGGAACTTAGTATACTTATTCCTTATACTGACTAAGGACAGCAACTATTAATGTTGGTGCATGGTGCTTGTCCGACCCCCAGGGGTGTGGTACCACACCCACTTTTTTGTTGGTTTTTATCGGTAAATACTAAACATGTTGCAATAATTAACAGATTTTGTTCAAATTCAGCATATCAATCATTTCAATAACAGGGTGGTACCTATATATATTGTTCCATATCCAAACCCCATGGACAGAGCCACACCCAATTTTGATACGCCCACATTTTCATGTGGACGTATATTGTCGTCGCCCCTGTCCGTCCACAATTGTTTGAGGACACTCTACAGGTCACAATTCTTATCTGATTTTGATGACACTTGAAATATACGTTTATCTCCAAAAGATCTCGGTTGCTTTCGATATTGGCATGTATCGGATCGAAACTTCATGGATTATGGCCCCTGATTATACGAAAAATCATGTTTTTAGCTAGTGGATACACTAGAGGTCACAATTTTCATCTGATTTTGATGAAACTTGAAATACATGTTTATAACCTAAAGATCTTGGTTTCTTTCAATATTTGCGCATATCGAATCGTAACTTCCTAAATTATGGCCCCTGATTGTACGAAAAATCGCATTTTAGTTTAGCTTGTGGTCCCTCTAAAGTTCACAATTATTATCCGATTTAAAAAAACGTTTGAATATGTCACCATTACACCATAATGATGGTTGAGTTTGAATTTCGTGAAAATCAGACTAAAACTGCCGGGCAAAATGGCCGCCCCTCATACGCTAATAGTGTAAAAATACATATATTGTATTAAGGTTGTGGACCCTCTAGAGGTCACAATTTTAATCCGTTTTTGATGAAACTTGAAATATTTGTTTATAACCCAAAGATCCTGGTTCCTTTCAATATTCGCACATATCGGATCATAACTTCCTGAATTATGGCCCTTGATTGTATGAAAAATCGTGTTTTAAGCTTGTGGTCCCTCTAGAGGTAACAATTTTTATCCAATTAAAAAAAACGTTTGAATATATCACCGTTACACCCTAATGATGGCTGTGATCGAATTTCGTAAAAATCAGACCAAAACTGCCGGACAAAATGGCCCCGCCCCTCGTACACTAATAGTGTAAAAATATAGAATATCAAGGTTGTGGACTCTCTAAAGGTCACAATTTTCACACTATTTTGATGAAACTTGAAATGCTTGTTTATAACCCAAAGATCTTGGTTCCTTTCGATATTCGCGCATATCGGATCGTAACTTCCTGAATTATGGCCCCTGAATGTAGGGAAAATCGCATTTTTAGCTTGTGGTCCCTCAAGAGGTAACAATTTTTATCCAATTTAAAAAACCGTTTGAATATATCACCGTTACACTTAATGATGGTTGTCCATTGTACGCAAATAGTGTAAATATCTGGTATATCAAGGTTGTGGACTCTCTAGAAGTCGCAATTTTGATCTGATTTTGATGAAACTTGAAATAAATTGATATTTGCGCATATCGGATCGTAACTTCCTGAATTGTACAAAATTTAGAGGTCACAATTTTAATCCAATTTAAAAAAAAAAGTGTGAATATATCACCATTACACACTAAGGTCTTGGTTCCTTTCGATAATCTTGCATATCCGACCGTAACTTCCTGGATTGTGGTCCCAGATAGTTAGTTCCTTTCGATATTCGCGCATATCGGATCGTAACTTCCTGAATTATGGCCCCTGATTGTAGGAAAAATCGCATTTTTATCTTGTGGACCCTCTAAAGGTCACAATTTTTATCCGATTTTAAAGAAACTTGAAATGTATGTTCATAACCCAAAGATCACGGTTCCTTTCCATACCCGCGCATATCGGACCATATCTTCCTGGATTATGATCCCTGATTGTACAAAAAATCACCTTATTTTTTTTAGCTCATTCTCTGTCCATCTCTTGCAAAATCTGCGCATATCTTGAATGGCAACCGCTTGTTTTTTATACACCCACATTTCCATGTGGACGTATATTGTCGTCGCCCCTGTCCGTCCGTCCGTCCACAATTGTTTGTGAACAGTCTACAGGTCACAATTTTTACCAGATTTCAATGAAACTTGAAATATAGGTTTATCACCCTAAGATCTCGGTTCCTTTCAATATTGGCATGTATCGGACCGTAACTTCATGGATTATGGCCCCTGATTGTACGAAAAATCACGTTTTTGGATTGTGAACACTGTAGAGGTCACAATTTTTATCCGATTTGGTTTAAAATTGAAATGTATGCTTATAACCCAAAGATCTCGGTTCCTTTCGATATTCGTGCATATCGGAACGTAACTTCATGAATTATGGCCACTGATTGTACGAAAAATCGCGTTTTTAGCTTGTGGACCCTATAGAGGTCATAATTTTTCTCCGATTTAAAAAAACGTATTATTATATCACCATTACACCCTAAGGACAACTGAGTTCGAATTTCGTGAAAATCGGCCCAAAACTGACAGACAAAATGGCCGCCCTTCGGTCTCAAATAGCGTAAAAATATGGTATATCAAGGTTGTGGACCCTATAGAGGTCACAATTTTTATCTGATTTTGTTGAAACTTGAAATGCAAGTTTATAACCCAACAATCTTCGTTCCTTTCGGTATTCGCGCATATCGGACTGTAACTTCCTGAATTATGGACCCTGATAGTACGCAAAAACGCGTTTTTTGGCTTGTGGACCCTATAGAGGTCATAATTTTTATCCAATTTAAAAAAATGTGTTAATATATCACCGTTACATCCTAAGGACAGGCTGATTCGAATTTCGTGAAAATCGGCCCAAAACTGACAGATAAAATGGCCGCCCTTCGTTCTCAAATAGCGTAAAAATATGGTATATCAAGGTTGTGGACCCTATAGAGGTCACAATTTTTATCCGATTTTGTTGAAACTTGAAATGTAAGTTTATAACACAAAGATCTCGGTTCCTTTCGATATTCACGCATATCAGACCGTAACTTCATGAATTATGGCCCCTTATTGTACGAAAAATCACGTTTTTTGGTTTGTGGACGGTTGAATTCGAATTTAAAAAAACTTATTTTTTTTCACTGTTACACCCTAAGGACGACTGAGTTCGAATTTCGTGAAGTATCAGCCCAAAACTGACAGACAAAATGGCCGCCCCTCGTTCTCAAATTGCGTAAAAATATGATATATCAAGGTTGTGGACCCTATATAGGTCACAATTTTTATCCGATTTTGTTGAAACTTGAAATGTTAGTTTATAACCCAAAGATCTTGGTTCCTTTCGATATTTGCGCATATCGAATTGTAATTTCCTGAATTATGGCCCTTGATTGTAGGAAAAATCACTTTTGTTTTAGCTTTTTTTCTATCCATCTTTCGAAAATGTGGGCGTATCCTGCCTGGCAGCTGCTGGTTTTAGCTTGTAATCTATCCATCTCTTGCAAAATGTGGGTGTATCTTGCCTGGCAACCACTGGTTCATTACAGATCCTGCTTGGGTTAAGCTTATAATTACAAACTATGATAGTATACTACCTGTATCCAAGTTTCTAAGCCACCAATCAGCCCAAGATACATGTATATTTTATGAGCCAACAATATAAAGTTAACAGATATCTTAAAGTCTCTGACCGTCATTGGAATGTTAATCCCTTGCACACCTCAGAAACGAATATAAGTAGTCCAAACTGGGTTCACATCTTTTCTACAAAGATATTATGAATTGAAAACTTGTTAACATTGGCATCCACCGAAGATGACATAGATCATAAAGTCGACAAACACCAGGCCACTTTTGCTGAATCTTTTTGATGGACCTCTTTCTAATCCAATCTGAATCTACCATTGATTACCTGATTAAAGCAATAATTGCATATTTTCTAAGAAAGTCAAAACATAATTATTTCTATATCAATTACTTAATAGTTTGTTAAATCACTACTATACAATCATAGGAATGGGGAAAACCACTCAGGAAAATCCTAAGGTATGCACTTTATCAGTGCCAACACTTGGATAGTCCATATACCTCCTGGTTAGTCAGTCTATGCTATACTCTGATCACTGATTTTATTTAGTAATTGAACTAGAGTATACAGGTCAAAATTCTATGGAATACAATTACTGCTTATTACTGAGCGACGTTTCGACTAGGCTTCTCTAGTCATTATCAAGCTATGATAATAACTAAATGCCATTGAAACAGTTTAGTCGGGTGTAGTTACACTGTTTTCAATGATGTCAATATTCAGCAGTAAAAAGATGTACTAATGTCATTTTATGTATTTTATTTACTAGGTAGCCTGTGAAGAAGATAAAATAGGAATAAATGAACAGTTACATGAAGTACAAGGTACAGTAAACAGTTTCATATGACTTATTTACTAGAAGAAGAGCGACATTACGTAGTTAATTTGACAATTCATGTTTAACTACAATCTTATTTCCTTTCGTTTTTATACTTCAAAATTTCATTTTACTTGTCTACATCGAAAGTATAAAAAACGAAACGAAATATAGATCTGTATTTTAATTAGATTGGTTTAACGACACATTTTGATGAAAAGTGGTTAAAGAGGCAGTATGGGAGATTAGAGTTGACAGTTCTCACTATAATAGTTACAAAATAGATAAAGCAAATAGAATATGCTGTGAATTTCAGTCAAATTGCTCCACCCTGAACCAAGATATTAGCTTTTGAATTTTAGACTAACCTCGATCATCATTACTAAAGTCGGTATGATAAAAAACAAAGTCTCGATCATCCATTTTTACATTTAGTCATCCGTCAAAAAATTATTCCAATCCGCTAAATAGGGGTCCGTTCCTGGTGTTGGCCGAGAAAGTTCATCAAGATTTTCTGGCATAAGTTCCCTTTGTCAGTGGTGCAGGACAGAGGGCCGAATGATACGAAAACCCAAGGTCCTACGTATACATTGGAGTGCACGTAAAACTTCTCGTGACAGTTGGAATTCGATATAAGTGTAGACCATAGTGCCGCTGCCCAGGCAAAATTTCCCTCATAGCACACTGTATGGTGTATGCCTGTCTTCATAAGCCCATTCGGAGCAGAATAGTAGGACGTTAAATTTCATTTCATTTTTAATTGGAAGTATTTACAGCCTGTGGGAAATATATCATTGGGTACATGTATCTAACAATATGTATGTATATAGATGGTATTATTTTTTTTTTAGAAAGGCTCACAGAAAAAGAGAAAGAGGTTGCCACTCAACCTAAATGTGGTTTTGAGTGAGTTATTTACTTTTCATCAATTTACTGACTTGTCTCTGAAATTAGATGCATTATAATGATGTAATGATTTCATAACAAAAAAATCTAAAGGGTTGCTAATTAATGTACGGTAGGCACATGCACGAGTTGTATATTGTTTGGCGTGAAATTCTTTGTTCAACCTATGTGTGGCTTGTTCTTGCAAATATTGTGATGGTTTGAATTTTGGGATTGTGAAAGTTTCAACACTAATGATTTGAAAATTAAAGAGATCCTTAAATCAGCTGGTCTTGCAAATATTTTGATGGTTTGAATTTTGGGACTGTGAAAGTTTCAACACTAATGATTTGAAAATTAAAGAGATCCTTAAATCAGCTGATCAGTACTTAATGTATTTATAGTGTTCATGTTGGGCATGTGATGGAAGATGTTCCATGACTATGATTTATCATCATATTCATCTCTCCTTGGTTTGGCAGCTAACAGTGATGTTCATGCATATGTACAGATTGAGTTCTTAATGCATAAAATATATCTGTTTTATTCCTTTCAGGGAATGTAAAGCAGAAATTGGAAACATAGTAAATATCCTTACTAATACTATAGGTAAAGAACCTATCAAGAATAGCTTATTACAGAATAATATTGATGTTGCTAGCTTAATGTCGCAGGCTGGGTAAGTTTCTAAACACATTCTATACTCCGTGTAACTTATATGTGGGGATAATTTTTGTGCTCCCAGGGTAAGAGTTGATAGCCACGCTTTAAAAAACTGCTGGTTGCCTAGCAGCTCATTGTTTTACTTTTTCAGATAAGCTTACAGAATTTTCTTGTGCATTTTTTTTACTGTATTTCTAAGTCAATAAAATTTATTTTTTATATGCCAACCTTTCGAATGAGAGTTATATTTTCTTCACCCCAGTCAGTCTTGCATCCATCCACATTTATTCTGTAACACTACATGTCAGAGTTTTTCTTTTTCAAACTTGTTACTCTTGCTTATACATAAAAGGAATCCTACTGAAATGATATTTCGCAGAGTTATTCCTATGGTCACCGCAAAATTATAAAAGCTACATATATTGGTCAGGGCTATTGAGATTTCAAATTTATTGGGATTGTTCATCTGATCATAAGGTGTAACTTTATCAAAGTTCAGACTCGCCTTTTATTTTTATACATACATTGTAGTTATTTCCCCCTAAGTCTCTAAATTCACCTTTTAGTATGCTGCCCATGGGCGTATGTTCATTGCTTGGCATCTTAAAGAATTTGTAAACATATAAAATGATGGTTATTTTTCTAAAATGTATTTTATAATTCATTATATGTATATATATATATTTTATTTTAAAGAGGTTCAGATGCAATTAAACAAGGATCAAATTCAGAAAATTTACAAGGCAACCAGAATTACCAAGTTCAGCAACCAGGTCAGATCGATTCTAGACAGCCAGTTGATCCCAGTCAGCATTTTTTTGAAGGTCAAAATGCAGTAAATAATAATAATAATCGGCTGCAAGCAGGTGGATTCAATCCTCAGATCGATTCTAGACAGCCAGTTGATCCTAATCAACAGTTTATTAAAGGTCAAAATGCAGTAGATAATAATAATAATAATAATCAGCTGCAAGCAGGTGGGTTCAATCGTCCGATCGATTCTAGACAGCCAGTCGATCCCAATCAACAGTTTAATAAAGGCCAAAATACTGTAGACAATAATCAGCCACAAGCAGTTCAAGATAATCTACAATATCCTGGAGGTCAAGGGCATTCAAATAACGTAGGCCAGTCTCACCAAGATCCTGGTAACCAAAATCAACTACCCCCAGTTAAATCAGGTCAACCTGACACTGATCAACATATTCCTGCTAATGCAGATGGTAATCAACCTGAACCAAATCATGCAAATCTTGAACAACCTGGAAACATAGATCAGCATGATCAAGGTGCTAAGGGTCAATTTCAGCCAAATCCTGATCAGAAAGGTCAATTTCCTGTGAACAAAGGTCAATCTGCATCTGATCCAAAAGATAAAAGTAATCCGAGTCAAATAGCCCAAAATACAGTTCAAGAGGCACTAAAAGGAAATACTGGTACAGAACAACAGATACTGGGTCAAGGACCAGTGAAAGTGGGCCAAGAACAACTGAAAGTGGGTCAAGAACAACTGAGATCAAGTCAAGAACTAAAACCAGGTCAAGAAGAAATAAAAAACAGTCAGGAACAAGTAAAATCAGATCGAGAATCAATTGACACCCCAAAAAATCCCATATCTAATGCTGAAAGCACTATTCATCAACAACAAAACATGTTACATGTATCACAAGAAAATAAAGTACCTGGATCTAATCAGTTAGAAAACAATAAAACACTAGAAAGTCAAGAACAGCCAAAATCTCCAACACAGCTACCTATACCAAATCAGATTGATAAGGGTGGACCAGAAGAAGATGAATCTAAAAAGAATGATGCTATTGTTGATAAGAAAGTCACAGAAAGTGAGTACAATTTAAATTGTTGTGATCTGTTAAAATGTAATTTTCAATCCACATGGTTTAAGACAGTCCATTTTGCATAAGGATAAATAGGTTAACATTTCAAATTAATTTGCATTCTTGTTCCACAATGATCCAAGGTTTGTGAACCCTCAAAAAATGAAAATTATAATCTGATCTGTATGAAATTGTCTAGTAAATGCCCCCAATTACCTAAAAAAGAATAAATATGCTACAACCCTTGTCAAGCGCTCGGACAATTTAGCTGCTGTGGTCGTATGTTTCATTGTCTGGCAACCTATCTTATAACAAGAATGACCAGCTCTTTATTTAAATCTTTAATGCATCTTTAATGTGTTTAGTTAATGCTTGTCATTATGTAATTTAAACATTATGTTCCTAAACATACTGGGAGCCATGGTAGTCGGTGGCTCAGTGAGTTAGACGCTGTCTCGTTAGCTTGGAGGTCATGGGTTCCATCCCAGTGTTGGCCGAGAAAGTTCATCAGGATTTTCCAGCATGGTTTCCCCTTGTCAGTGGTGCAGGTTGGAGGGCTTGACAGGGACAGCTGTCTAGTCATTTGTGTGGGACAAAAAACGAGGCCCTGTGTACACATTGGCGTACACGTAAAAGATCCCCTGGCACGGCAGTTGGAATTCGATATAAGAGTAAGTCTTAGCTCTGCTGTCCAGAAATTTCACTCTCAGCTCACTGTATGGTGTCTGCATTATCTTCATTAGCCCAGCCAGAGCAGAACAGTAGGACGTTAAACCCCATTTCATTTCTTAAAAATATTGTACTTGTACTTAAAAGTATTATCTTTTCAGAATCTCCAGGAAAGGTAGAGAAGATTGTAGAAGATAGTTATAATACTATAAACAAACATGGTGGTGGTTTTAGGGAAAGTAAAAACTTTGATAATCAACAACTTTCCCGTTCCCCTGCACTTGAACAACCCAATAAACCCCTTGATCCCTTACATTATGCTTCTCTTGCTAAAACATCTGTACCTCATTCTTCAAATATAAATATTTTCAATGGTTCCCCTTATGATCATCGACCGCATGATGTTATGATTGAACAAATGGATAAAGGAAAAGTAAACTTTAATATTGATAAACCCAATCATCAGATAGACGGACCTCTAGATGAGGCTGTTATCAATCCTAGAAGAGATCAACAAGATAAAGATTATAGTTACGGTGGTGATGGGGCCGATGATGATGACAATACTTATAAGGTAGCAAATACTTTACTTTCTTAAAGCCATCTCTATAACCGGAAGTTCAGTTTAAGATGATGCCCCTGACAGTTTTGTCTAAAATATTGGAAACAATTTGGTTAGAACAAAAAACCGAGGTGTACACATTGGCATGCACGTAAAACAACCCTTGAAAGTTGGAATTCGATATAAGACTTTTAGGTTAGGCTGTGGTGCTGCTGGCCAGACAATATTTCCCTCTTATGATGTATGCCCGTCTTTATTAGGCAAAGCCATGGTAAAAGCCGACGTACGCTAACCATGTCTGTCACGGCATTATTTATTTTCGTGTGCCGTAGTAGACCCTATCATCCCAAATTAGTTTAAAGAAAGATGTATTGGTATTTTGTTTATTTATACTTAGAAGATGTGTAGGCCTAGGTCTATTCATTTTACAATTATTCTACGGTCTTTATATTTGTTTATTTGCCGTAAATAGGTCACCCAGACCAATTTACGGCACTCCAATGATAAAGGTTTGAATGTTGTAATTGTCCAACACGTGCCTGCAAATTTTCACGATGTTTCTTATTTTATTTCTTACCTGTGTTGACCGTGGATTTGCTACGGCCCGAGAGTAGGACTAGGAGGACGATGAGAGCTTTCTCAGTTTCTGCCTGACCTGATTCTCATTCCACCGTAATAATAATAATATTCGTGAGACACGTACAACAACTTTACAAACAAGTCAAATAATACAACGTGTTTTAATTATCAATATCTACCTGTTGTCATAATTCGTTGTACTCAAATAAAACACAAAGTAATAATGTAATATTTGAAAAAAAAAACCCAACAAAACAACAAATACCGAAAGGTCCTCAACTTATCTATCCAGAGAAACAGAGTGGGGCGGGACAATTTTATGCTCGGTCGGGTGGTGTCAAAAAGTTTTTAGATCCCTGTATCATTGATGAAAATTAAGTGAATTTGGTAAAATTTGAATATATAAATAGAAATTTGATTTGCACTGAACCAAATACAAAAGGCAGCAGATGCTCTGAAAATACACCAAGAAGGGTTTAATTTTCATAAAAGATTACGCCCCCCTCCCAAAACATTTTTTCACTCGCTCCGTTCACCAAATATATTTTTACACCACTCAACAAATTCTGGCTACATCCCTGTGTTTCAGTATGACCTTGCAGGCACATTTTCAAGTGTGTGCGCAGGCACACTCAACTTTTATAGAGCCCTGCTGACAACGCGTTACTATCCACTATAATTCAGTCTTGAACATTGTTTAAAATTACTAATCAAATTGAGTTATTTCTACCATATAATTTGAAATACACATTGAGATTGGCATACATTGCTGTTGTAGAATTGATAGTCTTTAGTATTTAATCGACTGCACCTTAAAGTCGCTACCCGTCTTTGCTGATTTGCAAGATTATTTCAAATCATGGCATTTTCCCATATTGCGAGTACAGTAATTGATTCAAGTTTGTTAGTAGTGCCAATTGTTATTAAATACACTTGTCCAGTCTGTCGGACTTAATCAAGTGCCCCTGCAAGACACAACCTGCATCAAAAGGAGATAACTGATTCAAGGACTATTAGTAGAAAACTTTGGATTTATTAATTCAGTCAGCTTTTATGATATCACATATTCTTACTGCGTATGATTTTTTCCTTTTTGTTACCATATGAAATATTTTTTGCATCCTATAACCCTTTAGCTAGAAGCTTTTCCCATATTTACACTTCCTTTTTCTTTGGTTCAAATTGACTTTACTTTTTATAGAGATTATGATCAGTACCAATGTCCAAAAAAAACTGATTGAGTATATTACACACAAAAAAAAATGAGTGTTCTAGGTCTTAACTACTAGTGTGTTGGAGTCCTGTGCCGGTAAAAGTGCTTAGGCCAACCCTTTTGTGTGGATAATTTTGAAGTTCCTAGCCGCAGTTAGCCAAATTAAAGATATACATTGTATACCTTAATTAATATAGGCAAAATGCAATCTCACTGAATCTCGTAATGTTAATATTGTATGTTGTAAAATAGTTTCTCTGTCATCCAAGGTTGTATTTACGGATGTGTACATACTATAATTTAGTGACAAGGAGTAGAAATGATGTGATAGCTTGAACATAACGCCTATAAATAGCAGTGTGGAAGATGGGATCAGTTCACAAACTGTGATGTTTTGGGGTTACAGATGCTATGTAATTCCTAATTAGCCCTAATCAAACCTGATAAGAGTAATGTTTTCTTCCAATTTGAAATTTTGAAATAATATTGATAATGGAAAGTAACGTTATACAAGAGCTAAGTCTGCCTATTGCAGGTCTTTCTTTGGGCCTTAAATGTTATATAAACTATTAATTATTTAGTAGACATTTATTAACATGAACAGACCTTAATCAACTCTCGATGCCATCTTGTGTCAGATTTTCACAGGATTTGAATTCGATTTGTTGCTGAATGCTCATTGATGATTTAATCCAAAAATGGATAATTGAGCCTATGTTTCTTATCGTACCGACTTTAGTATGATGATCGAGGCTAAGCCTAATTCAGAGTCGACCAATTTGACTGAAATTTTCAGCATATTCCCTTTACATTATCTTGTTTTTAACTATTAAAGTGAGAACTGCCAGCTCTTTATCTAATCTTCCATAATGCCCCTTTAACTAAGTTACTGTACTAAACTTTCTGAAATAGATTATATTATTGTATTAATAGTATTACTAATACTACATATCACAGAAAATCTCATTTTGAATTTTGTATTACATGTATTTTTCTTGATAGGATAAAGGACAAGGTGATAATGGTTCTAGAATGAATCGTGCAGTAAGTATTTCTGATATTGTCTTTCCGAGTTATGCCCCCTTTTTTAACTAAATATTGTGAACACTCAGTCTGGAATTTACAACTGTAATTTGATTTTTTTCAAATATGTATTAGGTGCATGGCAGTAAAATGTCTAGATTGATTTGGGAGCTATGTTTCTTTGAATTTATGAAACCATTTTAACATCCTTGAAGCTACACTGCTATCATTTTATGCAGTCCGATGTTGCCATCAGCTTGTCTGTCGTTCATTTGTCAGTGTATTCCACTGTTCACAATTAAACATGTTAGGGACAAAAATTATCATGGGATATTTTTGTAATGTCTGGGTTGATCTAGATGAACTTATAATAAGACATTATTAAAAGCACTTCTTTTCCCCAGTTCTATTAAAATTATACCAACATTTTGTTTCGTTGTATTTTTAACTGTCCTTTTTTTTAACCCTATGGCATTGCATCTTGATCAAAGAAAGTTTTTAGTGAAACTGATTGATCAACTTTAGATCAACATACCAAGTAGAGTCCTTGGTGCAAAAATTTGGAAGATGACATCTACCATAGTTTTCATTAGATTGTCATACAATTATTACTAGTATATGTTGTGTTTGATTTTAGAGGGATGAACCAAGAGAAGACAGTATAGATCAACAGAGTATTGATGATGAGGATATACCACAACAATAATTGTACATTTATACCAATGTTAGTCCTTACTGATCTTTACATAACCCCTATCTGTAACTATTAATAGTACATACATCTGACCATTCAGCTGATCAGCAATGTGAACCAACAATATTGTGATGTTTCTGATTAGTTATCCTTCCCTGGGCCTGCTTTTTACATTGACTTAGAGATTGACTAAACACAGAAACAGATTTTCACTTAGTACCCTGTGTTGTAGACAGTTGTGGGTTTTAAAGAAGTACAAAGAATTGATCAGTCTCACATCAAGCCTATTGGACCAATGAAAACTATTGCCCACACAGTTGCTATCAAGTGTGGTAATGGTTACAAAGCTAATATTATGTTCTTTACCATTGCTTCAGTAATATGGCCCACCATAGACATATCACCAATAGTAATAGGTTACAGACTGTGGCTATGCCAAGATTGTTGATACTGATTATACCATGGACCTTATAATATTATAAGGTCCATGATTATACTAACAAATTACCTTACAATGAACAAAACTAGTAATAACTGGATGTATTTAATACAGGGTTTTTTTTTTTTATATAAAGTGTAAACACTACACATTCATTCTTACTAGCTACCAGAATCTGTTGATCTCACCATCTTTGCTTTATACCATGTATCTTGCTTAGAGGCTAAATAATGGTCCCTAAGCACATACTAATGCTCAAGTAATTTATCAGTCTTTATTTAGTCTAAAAATGTTGAATTTACATGTGTAACTTGATAAACTGACAATAAAACATTGAACAATTTGGACATATTTTTTAGTGTGTATTGTACTCAACTGTCAGCACTTTGTTTTTGATGGCTTCATATTTATCATAATGATGTTAAATCAAGATTATAATAACACATTAGGAATTACCTCGTATTTACCTGCTTTAGTAATTTGAGAATTTTATAACCTGATTAAAATATACTTAAAAAGATACTGTGATTTTTGTATTTTGTATATATTCATAAGAAGTATATTTTTGAAAAAATGAACATGTAAGTAATTACATGTAAATTGTGTTAAATCATATCTAAATATTCCTATCTTTTCAGTCAGTACATTGTAGAATGAATGTTAAAATGCTTATTTGCAAATCTGTGTGTTACAAAGTAACAAATATTTTCAATAAAGAGTAGAATTTGAATACATTTTATTAAAACTATGCAAGCTCCTTAAATTTATTTTATTTCCATTTACTGGTAGTTTTAGAATTGAAAGTTTAGATGTATATTTTTAAAGTTTCTTATCATGTATTAACATTCCGTTATGATTTGGTTGTATTGATATGTATTATTATGTTTAATACTGTAAAACAAGAAATTAACACTCACAAGAAATTCATGCATTAAACAGCTCCAGTGGCATTAATTTATGTCTGCATTTCTTGGAAGTAGTATCAGTAGTTTCACAAATAAATTTGTCTTCTTGTTAAACATAACACCCCATAAAACAATATACTAATTAATGAGCTAATCAATGTCGTAGATAACATAACTTTATTGGTCACCCTGTTCTAAATTTAGAGAAGAAGATGCAGCAGCTTGCATTAATTTCAATACAGGTTAATTTCTTGCCTTACAGTATGGGGATATTCGCCTGGTGACAATGGAGTGAAAATGGGAATTTTGGGTTGCAACACATGCACTAAATAAGAAAGTATCCTGGCACTAACAGGACTGTAATCTGTCATTTGATTGCAATTCTGTTGATTTGAAATGTTCCAGACTAACAGCCAAGCATTCCCTGTGTTACCCCCAGACAAATTTATCAGTCTTGAGCTTCCCCATTTGATTGGTCACAAGTCCAGAAGTACTGCAGACCTATCAAACTGTTAATATGGTGTAAGATCTTAGTTGTCAGGTCAATCAGCAGTAGTAATTCCATTCTTATCATGGGTAGATGACATAGTAGTGGACTAAGGGGAAGCTCAAGATATTTATCATACTATATGTTTATTATTTATTAATTGTGTAAGGTGTTGATGTTTTTGTTTACTGTGGTCCCTCACTTCTAAATATGGTTCTCATCTCACAATAGTCTGTAAATAAAGGATGATAGATCTTGATCATCTCGTTCATCCTAAATGTGCCATTATTATATCCCCTGTTAAATTGTGTTTTCTTTAGTTGTAACACGTTTTAACTTTGTTTATCTTTACTGTTTGCCTTCAAATTTGAGCATCTGCTCGGTGGTGATAACTTGTGACAAAGTCAGTAGTTTTTTTTACTTGGTCATCTTTTCTGGAATAACATCGATCTCAAAAAATTCATCATGGGAGCAAATTTTTCAGTAATAACATCAATTCTACTTTCTAAACAACAAAATTGTTTGAGTCAAACACGGCAAACAATTTGATTCTGAACATTTACTGCAACATAAAGGTTCTCACAAGTTATCTTATGATCACTGCCAAAGATTTTGCAAGCAGACATTTTGACATCTATCGCACATCTATTGAACAATATCAGTGACCTTAAAAATATCTTTGAAACTTATTTTAAAAAATTTGTTTTGTTTGCCAGTTTTTTCACGAATTGAAATACAATTTAAAAAATATATTTCCTCAACAGTTAAGAACTTAAATACATAGCTATTAATTGGAAAATATATTCAACCTATGCAGATAATATATCTGTTGCTAAAAACATTTAATCTTGCAAGATATGAAAGAGGAAACCATATTCAATTTCAAATTTAAAAAAATTCTGCTAGTAGCTTACAGCAGTCATATAAAGGATTGACAAAATGTGTTTGTGGCGTATAGTTATATGCAGTTGATGTTTAAGGATTTCGTATGTTATTTATTTTTATCTTACTAACCAACTTCATTCTATATTTTTTTTTCTATGTCATAAGAAATATACTTTCAGTTAAAATACATTTTCAGGTTGCACTAGATGATCTTATTTACCATGATTGGATCATGTCATTAAATTTCATCTTTAAATATTGGTACCCGGTATTTTTTGTGAGGGATTAGACATTGAATGATAGATGGTTTTATTTAAATTAAATGCACCCAGGTGTGGAACTAGAAGGGAGATTTAGTAATTTTGTTCCAATTTGTGCAATCTGCTGAAAACAAAATATTTTCTGGCATTTATAAATTTTGAGATGTATTATAGCTTTATACTTCATGTATAGTGTATTCAGCACTATTGGGTATTGTTTCTTTTATGTCATGTATGTTATTGTATTGCTTTTTAACATGTGGAAAATAAATAAAAATATTTGGTTGATTTTTTTGTGTTTTTACTCAACCAGTTAACATAAGCTAAACCTCTTGACTTGATCAAATTGAAGTATTGATATAGATATGATGTGTTATTTTGATTAGTGATTTGGCATCACTGTTTTGAATGAAGCAAGATTGTTATCACACCCAAAACAGATCAACATAATATTAAATCAAATGTAATTGGCATTTTAATTTTGACCCACCTAAAAGAAAGTGCCATTAACACTAAACACCCCCCCCCCCCCACCCAGTTTACGTGTGGATAAGTTAATTTGAATTATATGTCACCTGTTGGGTGCCAAGGGGCAAAAATCCAAGGTCATGTGTATACATCATTTTAATTGGCATTTTAATTTTGACCCACGTAAAAGAAAGTGCCATTAACACTAAACACCCCCCAGTTCACATGTGCATAAGTTAATTTGAATTATATGTCAACTGTTGAAAAAACAATCTGTTATGAGTAGATTGTGGAGAGGTGCAGTGGCTCAATGTGGTTTTCCCTTGAAGGCGTGCCAAGGAACAAAGTTTAGTCATTCATAAGGGTCATGTGTATACATCAGCGTGCACATAAAAGAATCCCTGGTAGTTGGAATTCGACGAGGGGGAAATGCTGCTGTTGGGGCACAATTTGCCTCATAGCACACTGCATGCATAAATAGTTAGTGCAGAAAGGTAGACTCAAATTTAGTAGTTTTCTTCCTCATGAACAAATCCCACTTTCACTAAGAATTTTGTCCTGTACTGCATTCATGTCATTTCACGAGCTGGACAACTGGAGTTACTGGTTGATAAACCCAATTTCTATGTTATTGCATTAACCTATGACAGATCAACCAAACTGTGCATATTTCTAGACAACAATGACAGAACTTAATATAAATATTATTTATTTCCCAATACAAAAATCTCGAAACACTACATCAATAATATCTTCAGAGGAGATTTTTCCAGTAATTTTCCCAATTTCTCGTAAAGCTAAATGAAGCTGATGAGCCGCTAATACTATATCTTGCTGCTTAATTTGTATAAAGTAAGAATGTAAAAATTGTATACATTTGTGTAAATGTGATCTGTATCTAGCTTGTGTTAAACTTGGATTACCTGCTAGCGGATTTCCACACCTGTAAATAAAAATTCAATTATATCAAATAAGCTTATAAAATTGTTCACTGACATCAGCAATATTAAAATTAATTTATGACCAAAAAAATGCTGTCAAACAGTTGTTTAAAGATCACCGGAAAGGCTTCATAATTTCTTTAAATAATGCAAGGAAATATGTCCACATATAATTTCCATAAGACATTTAAAATATTAATTGGCCGATGAGAAAGTTCATCGGGATTTTCCGGTGTGGTTTCCCTTTGTCAGTGGTGCAAGTCAGAGGGTCTGACAAGGACAGCTGTCTAGTTGTTTGGATGGGTTAAAAAACCAAGGTCCCGAGGACACATTGGCGTGCACATAAAAGATCCCTTGGTAGTTGGAATTCAATATAAGAGTAGGCCATAGCTCTGCTGTCCAGAAAAAATTTCCCTCATAGCACACTGTATGGCGTATGCTCGTCTTCATTAGCACAGTCAATAAGATCCGTGTCTTAATAGGTATTTGTTTAAATTTTGCAAGATTCATCAGCATTTTTTTAGCTTGACCTGGGCCTTTAAAAAATGATTAACTAATAAAACTTTTATTTACAAGTTTTTGATTCTATTAGTCAGTTTTTCCAGAAATTGTTCTACACCATCCTCTGTAACACAAGAAACTTGTACACTCAAGTCTAACATATTATTACTAAGTTCTTTTATCATATATTCATGATTGATTAAATCTATTTTATTAAACACTACTAAAACATCTGACAGATCTATCTCTGGCTCAGCATAAGGAGTGTTGCTATTGTATTTTATATCACTTTGAACAGATTCTGAACATCTTTCTGTAATTCCTAGTTCTAGCAGATGTTGATTAATAAACGTCTTCAAATCTTTTTTAAATTGAAACTTGGTCACATCAAGAACTATGACTTTAATATCTGCTTGCTGAGCTCTGAAAGGCAAGATATTGAATATACATGTACAAATTATAACTAACATTGAATATTTTGTTTTTGGTGCTGTGCTCATAGACAGATGTTGATAAAAATTTCAACATTCATGTGCAAGAGAACAAACAAAATGAAACCAAAAGATATATCTTCAGACATCACACAAGGATATTGCAAGTAATAAGTAAGACTACTATCAAATTCAGTGAATAGATCTGAGGTAAATGCAAAACAATGAAAAGACAGAATTTCCCATCAATTTATTATTCTAGTATATGTCAGGACAAGGGAGATAATGAAACAAAATACAAAGTCTAAAACATGGAGAAGTAATTGATCGAGTTTAAAACACTATAATTGTCTGAAAAATATATAAAAATAGGTATGAATGTATTAAAGTTAGGGCACTAGCCCTTTTTTAAAATAAAATACAGTAGTTAACAGTATTGGTAATTTGATCAATTCTATGAATTTCTTTTGAAAATGTAAATAGTAGAAAATATCATTTACAGTTCTTGCACAGACAAATAAGCAAGGCCATATTAAATCTGTGGAACTTCTAGAGGTCACAATTTTTATCCGATTTTGATGGAACTTAGAATATATGTTTATATCCCAAAGATCTCGGTTCCTTTTGATATTGATGCATGTCGGATGGTAACATCCTGGATTTTGACACCTGATTGTACGAAAATTCACTTTTTATACTCCCACATTTTCCTGTGGACGTATTATGCCGTCGCCCCTGTCCGTCCGTCTGTCGGTCCGTCCGTCCGTCCACAATTGTTAGTGGACTCTCTACAGGTCACAATTCTTATCCGATTTTGACGAAACTTGAAATATAGGTTTATCCCCAAAAGATCTCGGCTACTTTCGATATTGGCATGTATCGGATCGATACTTCATGGATTATGGCCCCAGATTGTACGAAAAATCAAGTTTTTAGCTTGTGGACCCTATAGAAGTCACAATTTTTATCTGATTTTTTTAAAACATGAAATGTAAGTTTATAACCCAAAGATCTTGGTTCCTTTCGATATTCGTGTATATCGCACCGTAACTTTCTGAATTATGGCCCCTGATTGTACGAAAAATCGCGTTTTTACCTTGTGGACCCTATAGAGGTCATAATTTTTATCCGATTTAAAAAAACATATTATTATATCACCGTTATATCCTAAGGATGGCTGAATTCGAATTTCGTGAAAATTGGTCGAAAATTGACAGACAAAATGGCCGCCGTTTATTCTCAAATAGCGTAAAAATATGGTATATTAAGGTTGTGGACCCTATAGAAATCACAATTTTTATACGAATTTGTTGAAAATTGAAATGTAAGTTTATAACCCAAAGATTTCGGTTCCTTTCGATATTCGCGCATATCGGACCGTAACTTACTGAATTATGGCCCCCGATTGTACGAAAATATGTGTTTTTAGCTTGTGGACCCTATAGAGGTCATGATTTTTATCCGATTTAAAAAAAACGTATTATTATATCACCGTTACACCCTAAGGACGGCTGAGTTCGAATTTCGTGAAAATCGGCCCAAAACTGACAGACAAAATGGTCGCCCTTCGTTCTCAAATAGTGTAAAAATATGGTATATCAAGGTTGTGGACCCTGTGGAGGTCACAATTTTAATCCGATTTTGTTTAAACTTGAAATGTAAGTTTATAACCCAAAGATCTTGGTTCCTTTAGAAATTCACGCATATCAGACCGTAAATTCCTGAATTATGGCCCTGACTGTATGAAAAATCGAGTTTTTAGCTTGTGGACCCTATAGAGGTCATAATTTCTATCCGATTTAAAAAAACGTATTATTATATCACTGTTACACCCTAAGGACGACTGAGTTCGAATTTCGTGAAAATCGGCCCAAAACTGACAGATAAAATGGCCGCCCTTCGTTCTCAAATAGCGTAAAAATAGGGTATATCAAAGTTGTGGACCCTATAGAAGTCACAATTTTTATCCGATTTTGTTGAAACTTGGAATGTAAGTTTATAACACAAAGATCTTGGTTCCTTTCGATATTTGCGCATATCGAATTGTAATTTCCTGAATTATGGCCCTTGATTGTTGGAAAAATCACTTTCTTCTTAGCTTGTTCTCTATCCATCTTTCGAAAATGTGGGCGTATCCTGCCTGGCAGCCGCTGGTTTATCTTGCTCTCCTTTTATCTCTTGCAAAATGTGGGCGTCTGTTGCATGGCAATATAATCTGTTTTATAACTTCCACTCAAGTGAGACGGCAATTATGCCAGAACAGCCCCGGATATTTGGAGCAATGATAGGGTGACCACCCGTCCCACAAAATGCTTCCAAGTCCCGCGCTTAAAACCAGCCAAAATATCCTTCAATTGCTCACATGCAAGATTTCTATACAGTAATATGTGTGAATCTAGTCTTGTGGTAATATTTGAGTATTACATTACCTTTTTTCAAAGATTCGTACAAGTATTTTTAGACCTAAACTTAATCTACAACTTATAATTCTGTTTCTCAACACAACTCATAAATTTTACGTGTATAAAGTACCGAAAAGGAAAATTCCTTCTCAAATATTCATGTGTAAACTTACGACTTGCATGTATTTTAGAGAAACAGACTTGATTTACGAATTATATTGCTTCTGATATTGCTTCTGATCCTGTGAACATGGGCGAGAAATGATGGAAGCATGGACCTTACCATAATATAAGATTCATGATGAAAGGGATTAATTCTTCAATTAATGTGCCGTCCACTACACCAGCAAATTTAATCAAAACTGTATTTTCCTTTGTTCTTTCCATGCCAGTTTGCAATATTTATCATATGTTGAGTGCATATTTTCACCGATGAAAAATTATTGGAGAGATGACAGAAACCAGGCTTCAGTAAAACTTATTAGATATGTGAAATTTAAATTCAATTAAACTTTAAATATTCGTGTCAGCAGTTTCACAAGTATATATATTAAGAAATCGCAGATTATTAGAAGCTGTGAAGTCGAACAAAAAATACCCTCATAAACTCATTAAACTATCTTCAGTTGTTATGCATTCAGGAGAAAATTACAAGTTATCACTACAAAATCAGAGTATTTCAATACCATATTTCTTGTCTCAGATTGCTGGGGATGACATCGCCGGGCTTCTAGTTTCGGGGGGGGGGGGGGGGAGGCCCCTCCTGGCCCCCCCAACGCGATCTTATCATTCACAATATAATTCATGAATATACCTTTGAATTGCTCTCCTGATTCCTTCTTTCTCTATTTCATCTTGACCTATACGTAGACCAGCTGTATCAGATAATAATACTGGATAACCACCTATATTAACAGCTGACTCTACAATATCTCGAGTAGTACCAGCTATAGGTGATACTATAGCAGCTGGTCTCTGACCTATAATATTATATACTATTCAAAAAAAGTAGGGGATATTTGATTTTTAAGTGTTATTAAAGTCACCTAATGAAACTGACGAAGAAACAAATGACAAAATGAAATGAAGTTCACATTCATCGATTTATTCCAAATGATCGTTAGACTAAGTAAGGCACAGACTGACCATTATAAGGGTAAAATGATACCCGGGGTCAAACAGCAAAGTTACCACAGCATCACAACCAAGTCAGTAACGGGTAAATCCTCCTCTGTTTGCCAAACAAGCATTGATCCGACGTGGCATACTCCTAATGAGACGTCTAAGGTCATTTTGGTCCAGATTGTCCCATTCCTGTTGCAACGCAGCAGCAAGTTCTTGGACATTGGCAGGACGTTGTTGACGTTGACGTAACCTCTGTCCAAGCATGTCCCAGACATGCTCGATGGGGGAGAGGTCGGGACTCAGTGCTGGCCAAGGTAATGTGGTGATGTTCTGTTGTTGGAGGTAACCTGTAACGATCCTGGCCCTGTGACATCTTGCGTTGTCATCCTGGAAGATGAAACGGCGGCCATGACGTCGTGCGAACGGCACAACATGGACTGCCAAGATGTTGTCCCGGTAGTACTGGCCTGTAACACGCCCTGCAACAACATGTAAAGCCGTTCTTCCAGCAACAGTGATGCCTCCCCACACCATAACAGAACCACCCCCAAATCGATCATGTCTGATGACGTTAACGTCTTGGAAGCGCTCGTTTCGACGACGCCACACCCTCCTACGTCTGTCCAAAAAATCAACAGTGAACCTTGACTCATCTGAAAACATCACATTGCTCCAGCGTCGATTATCCCAGTGTTGACGATCCCTACACCAACGACGTCTTGCCTGAATGTGATGATCTCTCAAACAAGGGATCACGCGAGGACATCGGGCGCGAAGGTGACCCCTATGCAGTCGATTCCGAATCGTCTGGCCACTCACTCTCACACCAGTGTCTGTTTGAAGACGAGTGCTGATCTGATTTGCTGTGATGACACGATTTCTCAAGGCCAAGGTACGGATAAATCGATCCTGGGCTTGAGTTGTCGCCTTTGGTCGACCTGAGCGTGGTCTGCCCCTACAGATTGTGTATCACGGTATCTGGACCATAGCCTGCTTATGACAGACTGAGAAACATTCATCGTCCGCGCCACAACCGCCTGTGTTGTGCCGATCTGTAGCATGCCAAGGGCACGTAACCTTTCATTTTGGGTAAGCCGACGCATATCAAAATTTGTTTTCTGGTCACTAAAACAATTAAACTGATGTTTCCACCCTGGAATTCAATGCCACAATGACTGTAACATTCAAAGTCAGAGTCGTGCAAATCTTGGGTTGGACCCCCATGATGATCCCAAGCATCACCTGCATTCCATGCGGTAGCTATTGGTGCGTTTGGGCGTCACATGTAACTGGAAATGTTTCTTCTGTTAGGTTCTATAGTGACTTTTTTCGTAGTCATTTGCATATTTTAGTATTATGCCCCCAAAATCAAATATCCCCTACTTTTTTTGAATAGTATATCAATTATATTCATTAAATATCAAAATTCTTTTATTAGTAAATTGTTACATTAAAACATTTGTTCTTTATGCATTCTTCAAGAATGATTCTTGCTATATGTTATACCAAGGAGCACATCAACGATGTCAATGTTTGTGTTTCGGCACTACATAAACACTGATTGTTTTTTTTTTAATACAAATACAAATATGGTACAAGTGTTTTTGTAAAAGATGTAAAATTCAATGTAATTTAAAATATGAAATTAGATAATATTATAGCATAAACTAAATTGCACACCTACACCTGTTTCCTTTCATGTAGTATTCTACATAAGTGCAAAACAGTCCGGTGAACATTGACACTTGCAACTGGAGACAACTAGTTGCCGGCAACTGGGAGCAACTAGCCGCAACTGAGAGGATACAATAAGTTGCCAGTTTGTGTGGATATACGGTACTTGTGACTGAAAAACCACCAGTTGTAAACAGATGCTACTAGTTGCTCGTGTTCTATTTTTCCGGAAACTAAGTTGTACTCAGTTTCTCTAAAAAGGCTGATCTATGCGCATCTGGCAACTGACCGTATCCAGTTTGTATGACCAAGAGGTCACATGATCAGCATTTGTCACTATTGGTGCCTATTCACTATAATATGTATACACTTAATTATCCTAAAAAGAAAGAAAAACTGTTTTCTTAAAAAAGGCTACATACATAGGACTACCACTATTTTTGCAAAATTTCGGCTTAATTCTTCTAGAGCTAGAACAGTAAAAGACTGCCAGATAAAAACAGCACCAAGCGAATTACCTGACAGAAAGACTATGGAAATTTGTTATTATGAGATTTTCTGATCTATTTTGAGCTATTTCTCTATGAGATAATTAACGCCAGGTTTGTAGTAAAAATACTATAATATATGGCTTATCAGTTATCACGCACGAATAAAATTGATATTTTCTAAAAGCTGACAACTTGAGCAGCCATTTTGAAAAAATCGCATGACCTACTGAAGCACCTGTTTTTTTCTTTTACTGATGCCAATGTACGTGCGCTGAATTGAGCAACCAACCAGTTGCTGCCAGTTGCTAAGTTACTTTACTTCCAGACACCAAGTCGATGTACACCATGCTTAATGGAGAAAATATATTTCCCATAAGAATACAGTACAGTACCGTACAGGTATACCTGGTGGTCATTCAAAGCTATAAATGATCAACTAAAAATCACCATACTTACATAATATATTGAGTAAGCTGCTTTTACCAACATTAGGTTGACCTATTATAGCCACATTAACACCAGATCTTAATCGCTGTCCTCTTCTATTATCTTCTAAATGACTTTCTATTTCACCACATAGCTTCGATGTTTCTTCATTTACTATAAAAAAAAAACCCACATATTTCCATAAAGTTTCTCATGGAACCTTAAGATTAGAAGATAACATCAAAACACTATAGTAGTCAGTCACTAGTGGATGATAAAGGTGTACGATTTGGTAATTTATGATGTCAAAAGACGATTTGATACCTAATGTCTTGAGTTAAGATGCGTATATCAATTGTTAAAAGGGCTGGAGTAAAATTCCCTAAGTCCTTCTGCATTGAGAACTGTTTGCCACGGAAGTGGATCTATTAAGTTGTAACAAAAAGACTTTTATAATACCATTATCAATAACATCATGTTCAATATTCTCCTCTTCACTGAAGTCAATATAAGCTTCCACATTGGCAGCACACTACAAAAATTGAGAAAACATTTCATATGTAATATTTTTCAAATGCATTGATATCTGCTGGTTATAGCATTCTTTTCAAACTAACACAGCAGCTAGTACCCCCGTCAGACTGGGATGGCATCCTTAGTGGACGCTACTGCGACGGAAAATGGTCGCAGAGCGCGTCAAGATCGCCATAAGCGTGGTAAAAGCATGGTGGAAACGCCAGATATCGTGCCGTGGTCTCCATGGTCGTGAATGATCGCTGAGTCACAGCGTTTGTTTTAAGCATATTAAAAACAAACGCCAAGGCCATTTTCCGTCGCCGTAGCAGCGCTGTAAAAGCGCCACCCTGGCCTGACTGGGGTATAAGCACACAACTTTTTTCAAGTCTGTAATTTTTGTCGACTGGCATGGTTTCGAATCCCCGGTTGTACGTGACAATGAGTAGGGTCGCCTGTCCAACCTCGTGGGTTTTCTCCGGGTCCTCATGTTTCCTCCCACTGCTAAAGACCCCTACGCGCAAGCGAATTATTGAAATAAAATTAAACCATATGTTAGTCCCGAAATGACCTAGTTTGTGTCGAGTGGACGTTAAACCCCATTTCTCTCTCTCTCTCTGTAATTTTTGGGGACATTTCTCGCGTTGTGTTTACGTTTGGTGGCGACCATGTACATTTTCTGATCGCTGTATGGTCACAGCAGCGTAGTAAGGAAGCCACCCGGTCTGACGGGGGCATAAATTAGCATTTGAAAACTGTGCTGAATTTCAACAGTTTATTCTGCTGAATTGACTTATTTTTGATCCAGAAAAGCTCAGAAAGTATAGTTTCAAGTTAATACACATCTATACATCAATATTCAACTGCACAATAACTGAAATCAATAAAATATACCAAATAAACATATAAACCAAATTGGTTAAAAGTGTAATACACCTATCTTCCACAAGAAGTGGCTACGGCCCTCGACTAATATACAAGTGATACAAACTGCTTCACTTTGTCTCCTTGTTCATCTACTAGTTTTGGAATCTGATATCCAGCAAAACAAGCTCAACAAATTTGAAAAGAAAAACTCTGAAATGCAGAGCTTATACAAGAGTTCAATGTCAGAAATTCTGCAAAAAAATGATGCAAGTTTGAAAAATGTCAAAAACTCAAAGAGCATTTACAAGAAAGGTGGAATATACTACCTCCCATATCTAAACTGTCCGCAAACCTTTCAAAACAGTATATCATTATCTCAGATACATATGTGTGTGAAATAGAATACTTTTGATTGGGAAAATAGGAAAAAAACAAAACAAAACAAGACATATTTAAGATCATATTTCACCTTGATTAGACGTTTTCTCCAGTTCATATAAAGTCGACTAAGATCTCCATCCATCTGACGTAAAGCTTGTTTACGTTGAGCCTCTGTTTCAGCATGTATTAAATCAGCTAATCCATCAACTTCTGTTAAATCTAATTTGTTATTCATAAATGCTCTGTAATTAACAAAAACAATTTCTAAAGAAAATTAAAACGCTTCGTTCATTAAACATGCCTATTCTCATATCACTGAAATTGGTGTCAGTTTTTCTACAAATATCAAAAAAAAAGTTCAACCTTTTTGTAAATTCACCAGCTTCTGCTGTCCGTAATCCTTGTATTGTTGACAGGGCTTCATACATTGCCATGACAACAGCAGGACCACCATGTACTTGAAACTCTGCACAATCTTCTCCTGTGAAACTTCTTGGACCTTGAATATTAATTATCGTTTCAGAAAACTGAACAAAGGGCAAATTGTTTCACCTTTCGTTAACATGCTGGAGGTTACATTCTGTGAGGAACTGAGATTCATTGTAAATAGCCAAACAAGTTTATGGACACAATCTGAACTGTATGTGAGTAAACATAAGATGTTGTTCAAAACATATTAGCATTACTCATTTGTTTATTTACAGAAACTGACAGATCATCTCATATAGTGATATCCAACATGTTAAGTACAGGCCAAACGATTTGCATTCAAGATTTGCATAGATGAAACTATAAAAATGGTGGAACGGCTCAAGTCGTCTTTTAAGTGGGGTTAGGTTATGGATCTAGAGCTTTTTAAGTCTTACATTATTTTACAATAGAACTTTTTTCCTCTCTACAATTTTGAAAAGGTAATCAGACTTTTGTTGGAAAGTTTCTATTGATGTCCAGGATTTCAGTGGTTTGGTTTGATCTTGATTTATTTCTGGGATTTGTACAATGATCATCTTTTTACATTACATTACAGGGTTATGGAATAATAACATTTAAAATCTTATAAGCACTCGTCTGGGTACTGTTTCAACGTAAATGTACGCATGCAATTAAACTATAAACCTTTTACCAGGAAACCATAGCAATAATCCTTTATCAATGGCTTCTAATGACACTGGATTATAGAATTTCATAAGATGTGATTTACGGGGAACTGGTAGACTTTTGGCCTGACTTAACTTTTGTACTGCATTTGATGTTTGTGGTCCGGAGACACGAATAACTGCTACTCCACATTTACCATGACCAGATGATAATGAATATATCGTTCCTTGATTTAACACACTGTTTGATATGCTGCGTATTACAGAAAATGATAGACGTGTCTTTAAAACAAACTTGGTGAAAAACATTATTTCTTTTTCAAATCAAATTGGTCAACTTTATGTAGGCAACTTCATTCAAATGAAGTTCAATGAGGGTATACCACCAACACTGTTTAAGCTGTTCCTTCTAAAATACCAGAGACAAAATATTTATCATAAATGAAATGAAATGGGGTTTAACGTCCTACTGTTCTGCTCTAACTGGGCTATAGAATGATACCAATCTGATTAAAATACAGATCTATATTTCGTTTCGTTTATTTATACTTTCGATGGTCAACACTACATTAAGATCTGACAAGTTGTACTGGTAAGACGTTGGCTCGCTAGCCTGGAGGTCACATGTTCGATCCCTGCATTGGCTGAGAAGTTCATCAGGATTTTCCAACTTGGTTTCCCCTTGTCAGTGTTGCAGGATGGAGGGCCTGACAAGAACAGCTGTCTAGTCATTCGGATAGGACAAAAAACCAAGGTCCAGGGTACACATTGGCGTGCACGTAAAAGATCACTTGGCAGTTGGAATTCGATATAAGAGTAGTCCATAGTGCTGCTGCCTGGGCAAAATTTCCCTCATAGCACACTGCATGGCATATGCCTGTCTTCATTAGCCCAGTCGGAACAGAACAGTAGGATGTTAAACCCCATTTCATTTCATTTCCATTGTAGATTATGTATACTTTAATTATGGACAACAAAAGGGTGTATCATTTACAATAATATAAAACTGCAACACAGGCTATTATGATGTGGGGAATGGCTTCTTCTTTATTTACAGTAAGTGGCTTACAGGTATAATATCACAGCATATAGGCAGCATGGTAACTTGTTAATAAACAATAAGACTAGTATTTTAGGTTGTGCACTATTGTCAAAATCATTTTATATTTATTAATAAATATGGTACAGTATATAAAATAAAACATTGGCTGGCATGTGTTCGATCTCCTCATAGTGTAAGAATGAAGTTACTTTTGTAGTCTTAAATTTAAAAGACCTTATGTCAAGTTATGTACACACAGGGCACTAATTACTAATTATGTATATTCCATATCTTCATTTATATGTAAATCCTAAACCATGATTCAAATTCAATTCTTGAATGCAAAAACGGGAATTATCCTAAACACTCGCTCAAATTAAACCTTGCTGTTGATTAACTCAATTAACTGATCCCAGCTAAGGACCAGCTCTAGAGTATAAAATAAAGACCTAAGATGAAAGCCCCTAAAACGAAGATCCCACTTTTTTGAATGCTTATTCATCATCAGTTCATCTTAGCATGTCTATGAAAGTTATGTCAAAATCATGACATACTCATACTGTCAATGGTCATACTGCAAAAAACAAATGCCTCTTTAAATTTAATCTTATCTTTCGACAAAAGTTTCGTCTGAAAACAGACGGGAGAATTTTTACTCGCGCGATTATACATTGGACATTAACGATAACATAATTTGTTGATGAAAGGATCCCCAATTCGTACAATGACCTTATTAATTGATTTGTCTTAACTCCGAAATCTTCGGTCATGAAAACATCAAGCATGGTTTGTGGGAAATCCCGATATTGCGATATTGACGTCACCGGAAGTGTGGGAATCCTTGTTTGTAAACAAAGCCATGTGACTTCGGTCATTCTGTCAGATGACTTCTTATCACTATCACAAGATGGCTTTCGCATTATCCACTATGAAACTGTCGGATATCATAGAACGATCTATTCTGGTATTTATTCATTGCAAAAGCAAAGTTTTTATAAAGAAAATTAACTACAAGTATTATATATATTGTTGAAAGTTTTTATTGTGGAGATCTCGTATAAAAAAAAAAATTCTCTCCGATTGTGGATTTAGGGGAAAAAAAAAAAAAAATAATAATAAAAATAAATGGGGAAATCAAACAATATTTTTAAAGGAACTAAATCGGTTTTCTTTGTTCCCTAGAACTGGACACTAATGGGTCGCAAAACATATAATAATGTAATATAAACGAGGTACCAATATCTGACCATATAGCTATCTACATACTATAACCTGGGATGTGCTCATACATTCAAGGTACCGGCCGAAACCAATTTTAAATGAAAGAGTACATCTCACCGAGTACGAAATTGCCCATAACAGACGATTTTGGCCCTGGGATAGCCCAAACTGACACCCTAAATAGGGACCCCAGAGGGCTTGAAAAAAGATTATATTCATCCATTCGAGGTACCAGTTGAAACTAAATTTAAATGAAAGGGTATATCCCACTGAGTACAAAAAAGGCCCTAACTGATGATTAGGCCCCTGGGATGGCCCAAAATGACACCCCAAAGCTGAGGGAGGGGGGGGGCTTAAAATGGGTTATACTCGTACATTCGAGATACTGATCAAAACCAATTTTAAATGATTGGGTACATCTCACCGAGTACGAAATTGTCCATAACAGACGATTTTGACCCTGGGACGGCCTAAACTAAAACCCTAAATATGACCCCCCTGGGCTTGAAAAAAGGTATATGCACACATTCGCGGTACCAGTTGAAACTAATTTTAAATGAAAGTGTACACCCCAATGAGTACGAAATTGCCCATAACAGACGATTAGACCCCTGGGACGGCCCAGACAGACACCCCAAAGCCGAAGGGAGCCAAAAATAGCTAGCTTCCATTAATCTTAAATTTGTTTGATAGATAGGGTGCATACCCCAAGCTTCATCCCGCTGGTGTTGCCACTTGATGTGATTTTGATTTAGTTTTGGTATCTTATAATTTTATATATAGTCAGTCACCACAGGTCTTGTTTTAAAGCATAATTCATTATTTTATAGTATATGCTGCAGTTCTATAGTGTTAGTCTTTGTTTTATAGAAATGGTTCTAGACGCCCTATTTCACTCACAAAACTCGTAAATCCACTTCGGGGGGGGAATTGAATATGACCGAATTTGTGTTAAGTGGACGTTAAACCCCATTTCTCTCTCTCTCAAATTGCAAATCCCATCTTAACCTCTAAGCAGATAAACCATCCGAATCATTAGACTGCCCAAAACGACCCTAGTCACATGAATAACTGTGGCGTCCCCAAAAGCTAGTGTATTGTTGTACAACACGAAAAGTTATTCACATAAGTCAGGTTTTACAGGCACATGTCCCTTTTCTCTAATTTTCTTCAAAGAACTTGTGTAGTTAATATTTAATTGTACCAAGTTAACCAATATTTAATAAAGCGTGAACATTTCATTTTCACTCATTCTATTGATCTTTCAAAAATCCAATTTTCAGATAATAATTGTCATCCAACAGTAAGGGGTATATATTGATCAGCAAAAATGGATTATTTTCAACTATTAAACTAAATATTGTTCTGGAGTTTATAATCAGACTACAGAGTTTTGTATAGTTAATTAATTATTTTGTGTACAAATAAATGGGATAATTTTACTTGGGCATTCTATCAGAAAGATAAGGGATGGAATGGGTAGGGTAGCAGCATTTTTTATCACAATCAATTAAAGTTTAATTCACAGACCTGAAACAACATGAAAACAATTAGGTAACATAATTTTATTTATTAGGTAACAATACAGTATTATTTTAGTTTTCTTCCTCTCTTTATACCAGCTCTGATTCCAGTCATTTCCCCACCATAACGATGTGTTTCTGTTCTCACTTCTCGTACCTATACACGTAAAAAAATATGAAAAAATTAAAATTTCTCATATACATTATTATTTCAAATTGTTTGACAATGGACATGCAATCGATAACAATACTAACACATCCAAAAAAATTGTTGCACTAAGTGCCAAAATAAATGTGAATATCAAAATGAAAACAAAATCTGAAAACTTTTAACATGTAGGCCTACCAAATTTTCACAAAGATTACATTATGAATAAAATTGTATACAATCACATTTTTCAATAGTTCTGGTTTCATCAAATGCATCACTCTTTTGAATTTTTAAAATATCATTTATAATGTTATCCAAACCCTACCTGTCCCTTCCTCCTGATTTTAGCCTTTCTAAATTTATGTCTATGTCGAACTCTTGGATTCTTCAATTCTCTCTTTCTACTAGGAGTTAAACCACGATTTTTCTGAATCTGTAAAAGAAATCAAATCCATTCACAAATTCCTATATAATAAAGTCATGTCACACATGCATTTATAAACAAATTAAATTGATCTTCATAAATCATTTGAATTGCTTACATTTAATGAAAATTTTAATGAAAATATATTTTTTTTAATATGTGTCATGAAAGAGTAAATCTAAATGGATTACCTGACTAGTAATAGCTCGTTTACCATCTTCATTCATTTCATCATTGTCATCAATTTCACCTTGAGCTACCCTATAAGCCTTCTCTAAATCTACACCATTTTCTCTGCAATAAATAAAAGCATATATTATACACAAACATTTCACTAAATAGATTAGGGAGTTATGCTGACACGCTACAGTGAAATACTAGTGTATATAAGTGTTTTGAAACTAAAGTACAAAAAAATTCTGATTTTTAGACAAATACAACTTACTCATCCTCCTCCATTTTCTTCTTCATCTTCTTATTCTTCATCATGTCATAAAATTCTAATGCTGTCCTCTCTGCTTCTGTTTCTATATTCTGTCTCTTTTGTTTTTTGTTTTTTTTCTTAAAAAACAAATAAAGACAGTCAAAAACACATTTCAATTTAAGATTAAATTATTTCGCATTATAATACTTTTAAGCTGAAATGTAAAATTCAACTGTAATAGCAGCTCATAAATTACCTATTTTGTTTTCCAATATATTCCTTTTTAAAATGGAAACTGAGAGTGTTCATCATGGGAAGGATATTTTAAACGCCTTAATAATTTGTAGATTAATATTTACAGAATAGTATTTACAGATGTTCTGTAAATACTGACAAATATCTAATTAATGTCTAATCATGAAGAATATTACCTTAGTCTGTGCACCTATGTTTTCTGACTCTGAATCAGATTCTGACTGTATAGCCTGTCTTCTTTCTTCAACCCGTTCTCTAACACGAGTTTTAACTTCCCTTCTACAAATTTAAAGAGAAAACTTTCAGGACAACTATCAAGCAATACTATACATATACCACTAGCTGGCACCTCATAGATGATTGTCAGTCAATAAATCCTGCTGATCAGGTTCGTTTAAAAAATCCACAATCAACTTCAAAAGTAAAAATGTTAACAGAAAGATACAAGAACCAAAAATTCGGAATTTCAATAGTGTTCCTCCTTAGTCTTAAATGGTCTGTACTTTGTCCTTTATCGTGTTCACAAGTTTAACATGTCAAAATGTGCCTAGAAAGAAGTGTGTAAAATGCAAAAGATTCTTCCTTATAACTTAATAATACACCCCAAGTTTCGTCACTTCACAATCTGTATTATAGAAAAGGTAGGTTGGATGGCCAAATGGTTAGCACATGCGCGCTGTATCATAAGGTCTGTTATTGAGTCAACTGGCGTGGTTTCGATTCCCTGCTGGTTGTACGTGACAAAGAGTAAGGTCGCCTGTTCAACCTCGTGGGTTTTCTCTGGGTGAAATGAAATGAAATGGGGTTTAACGTCCTACTGTTTTGCTCCTAAACCGGGCTAATGAAGACGGGCATACGCCATACAGTGTGCTATGAGGGGCCTACTCTTATATCGAATTCCAACTGCCAAGGCATCTTTTACATGCACCCCAATTTGTAAACGGGACCTCGGTTTTTTATCCCATCCGAATGACTAGACCCTCCGTCCTGCATCACTGACAAGGGGAAACCATGCCAGAAAATCTGGATGAACTTTCACGGCCAATGCAGGGATTGAACTCCAGGCTAGCGAGCCAGCATCTTACCCACTTAGCCACATAAGCCCCTTTTCTCTGGGTCTTCCGATTTCCTCCCACTGCTAAAGATCCCTACACGCAAGCGAATTGAAATAAAATTGAACCATGTGTTGGTCCCAAAATGACATAGTTTGTGTCGAGTGGATGTTAAACCCCATTTCTCTCTCTCTGAATTATAGAGAATAGTTTAAATAAAATATATAAAAACCTCTTAAATTCTGTTGGCTTTGGAGCAAAATTCACGTCTTCTCCTCTCTTTAACCTGGCCAATATATCTTTTACTTCTTTGTTTAGTTTATTATCTACTGGTACTAACTCTTTTATTAACTAGAATTCATACAAAAAACATCTAAGAATTATATCAATGCATAATGTATGATATACAATATTTATTAGTTGCAAATATGTTGCATTCATATCTACTAATGCATCAGGCTTTTTAACACTTTAAAACAAATTTAAAATTTTACATAAATGAAACATTTGAACTAATCTAAAAAGTCTTCATTTTTTGTCTCTCAAACAATATCATTATCAGTCACAGGTATTATTCAAGTGCCAAAATAATTCAGAACTTCAACAAATTGATAGTTGCTCATACAAGTTTGTGATATCTCCAAGAAAATAAAGATAGCAAAGAGTACATGTATTTAATACCTTTCTGTACTGTACTAGTCTTTTTATTACTGGATGGTTAACGGTGGCTATATGTTTCGCTTTTAACATTAAATAAAAACTAATGTTTACACAATAACTGTAAATAGACAAAGAATAATCATATATTGTTATTTACTTGATAGTTCAGTGTTTGAAAACAAATGAAACATTGGACAGAAATCTTAAAGAAAATTTCAAATAACCACATAGCATCTAAGGAATAGTACAACCATGGCAACTTAAAGAGGAATATTGAGTGCCTTTGTTTCTGGATACAAAGATATTTCAATTCACTCCACATGAACTGTTTCATTTCGGTACAAACATGGTATATTTTTATTTTATAATCCACTTACTGTGGAAGAAAACCGTAAATTCCACTCCTTGTAACATACAAGTGCCAGACCCTATAGCCCAACAAACCCTTGATACAAAATAAATCCCCTATGTTAAAAGCAAACATGAAAAAAATTAAAGACATCAAATGATCTTCACCTTAAACTAAGATGAAATTTGACTTTGACGTATTCAGCAGCTTTATCCACAATTTTGCCTTCTTGTACTAATTTAAATAATGGCTGTAATGTATCTTTAACTTCACTGAGCTGCAAAAAAATTATTCCTCTACATTAATTCAGTTAAAAAAGCAAGACTATGGATAGACAACATAATAAAACAATTGCAGAAAAAGTGGCTAAATCTTAACAGTATTCAAAATAAAATCAAACCTACATAATAAAGATGACATAAGGCACTACAAAGACAGTGTTGTTATTTCAGTTAAAATCATGTTTTTTGAATTTCTGAATTTCATGATAGCTTGTTAATAATTATATTTTAAAATTAAATATTTGACATTCAGCATTATCAATCAAGTATTTATTTTCAATTTGCAGCTTTAAATTTTTAAAACTCTATACTTACCTTTGCTTTAAAATCTTCTATTAAAGTAAGTAACTCTGGTGACTCTTTCTTCAAAAGCTAAATCCAAACAAACAAAATTAAAATTATTGTATCAAACTCTTAGAAAAAGCTTGTAAAATATTACTGATCTAATTTATAACTCTACCAATTTCAATAATATTCTGTAAGCAATTGAAGACAGGCATACACCAGCTCCTCTTATGTCATTTTGAATTCCAACTGCCAAGGGTTCTTTTATGTGCACGCTAATGTATACACAGGACCTCAGTTTTCTGTCCCATTCGAACAACTAGATGTTCCTTGGCAGACCATCCATCATGCACCATGAAATGAAATGGGGTTTAACATTCTACTGTTCTGTTCCGAGTGAACTAATGAAGGCGGGCATTAGCCACACAATGTGCTAATAGGGAAATATTTCCTAGACAACAGTGCTATGGCCTACTCTTATATCAAATTTCAACTGCCAGGGTTCTTTTACGCACACCCCATTTGTACATGGGACCTTGTTTTTTTTTTGTCCCATCCTAATGACTATACATATGCCGCCTGTCCTGCATTACTGGAAATAGAGAACCACGTCAGAAAATCCAGATCAACTTTCTCGGCCAACACAGGGGTCGAAGACAGGACATTCAGGTTAGCGAGCCAACATCGTACACATTGAGCCACTGCACCTCCTATCAGGCACGGCTAACAAGGTAAAACAAGTTTGATTTGTAATTAATAACGCTGTTAAATGACCAATTTAATTACATCGGAAGCTGAATAATGATCAAATAAGGTCTCGTTGGCAATAAATACGACGGGTAGTGTTAGAACTAGTGAGTATTATGAGATGATAGCAGACAAAATGTCTTGAAGATGTGAAAACAAAGATGGCGGCTGAAATACCTTTTATATACTATAATATATAGTCAAGCAGTAGTAAGAAGTTTTATTTTAATCCCTTCAAGTGCCTGTGAGTTTAGTATGTTTAAGAAATTCAATATGTGAAATAAACAGTTTTATTTCATTCTCAAAGATATGGATAAAGAATAGTGTTACTAATATCTACATACCTCTATTTTTTCTCTTTTTGAAAGTTTAGACAAATCCTGGACAATCTTTTCTTGATTTTCTAAAGGTTTTTCTTCTTTTTTGTCGGGCTGTAACAAATTCCCAAAATCAATAAACAACATTTATTGGAATTAGATTCTACCTAGAATCAAAACCAATAATAATTTTACTTGTTAGTTTGTGGAATCACAAAATATTGTGATAAAACCAAAGTACATTATGAATGAACTCTTAGAGCTGGTACAATTTATATACTAACACTTATCTTACCACTTTAAATTCATCTAAACCAAAATCATCCTCATCCATCTCCTCAACCATTTTCTTCTGGATAACTAAAGCTTCTTTCTCCTCTAGAATAGCTTTCTTCTTATCATCATCTGAACCAGACAAATCTAGTAAGGAAATAAATTGGGCTTAATTTATGGAGGTTTTTGTTCAATTGCAACAATTATTTTCCCTGTACAGTGATGAATAAGAACAACTATTTAAAGATACATTTTGTAAGATTTAGATAGAGGGCCGACCGCTCTTGCTATAATAGTTTTAAAATAAATAACAGAAAGGATAGCATTAATAGTCTTGATTGTCAAGTACCATTGATGCGATAATAAACATAGTCTTGTGGCGTTTTTGTGAGTCGATTAGATTAGGTTTTGATTTGCTAGTACGATTTGGTATGATTTCGATTTGATTAGCTATGGTCCACAAATGTGAAATTTGATAATTACGATTTGGTAAGATGGCTGCCATCACGGACACCGATCAGAAAAAAAAATTGTCTCTGCTAATTATTGATGACTTGTTAAAGACAAATGAAGGTTATCTACGCAAAAAAGGAAAAATGGTTGCCGTTAGAAACAATCTCCTATGTCCAACAAGTTCAAGTATTTTTTTGAAAACTGAAGTGACAAAACATGTAAAAAGTTTACTGAGAAAACCTAGGATAGAGAAATATATTGAAAAAACTGTAAATAATGAATAAAATTGCTTGGAGGTGATCTAACATTCTTGTGGACTATAAAGTTAACATTAAACACGTCAAATGTGTTTTAAAAAAACATTTTTTATGGAGAAAAACAACAATAAGCATTAAAAATTACTTACGACGTCGAACATTCCGCCATTTTGAAAAAGTCAAATCTAATCGCCTAAACACCTCCTGGGACGATTAGGTCGATTTGCCTAATCAGTTGAGTTAAATCGTCTCACAAATGTAACGATTAGCATAAACAACTTGGTTCACAAATGCGTATAATAGCTAATCGGTCTAATCTAATCGGTTCACAAAAACGCCTTAGATTTTCCATTTCAACATTTAACAAAGATATGGCAGACAATTTCTAATCAACTTAATACCTCAGCCAAATAAATACATGCAATACTCAAATTTAGCTCTTAATACATCTTCAGGGTAGTTTATTCATTGAAATGAGCATACACCAGTGTCTAGTAAAACACTTTACCATATATTTATAATCATACCGCCTGGGCACGATAATTTAACTTACCGACAAACTCATCAAAATCAGCTCCATAAAACTGTGACCTCTTTTTACCCCATCCTTTATTGTCTTTTTTCACTACAATTAAATCAAGTTTATAATACAAAATAAATGTCTTATTTTAATTATATTATCCTGTATTTTACAATAGAAGAAATTATTTGTAGAATCTATCAATTATATTGGCATAAGTTGAAGTAAAAAATATAAGATGTTATTTGTTACTAAACACACTGCATTATTCAAAGATAGCCACGCAAAGCCTAGAAACATGCCAGCAGCTAAGCATCAACAACAGTTTACCCGGAACAAAAACTGTATGTTGGCAAATTTGATATTTCGGCAAAGGAGGATAACCCTGATACAGAATGTGGCAGAATGCTGAATATCGATAGGGTTTGTCCACCAATGGCCAGAATGCTTTATGCCAAATCTAAAAAGTATCTGTTAAAAACTATAGCTTCTATTATGCTCACAACTCACAAAATATCAATAGGCGATACGTTTCGTCCTCTAATGGCCACAATTCTTCACACCAAATTTGAAAAGTATCCGTTAAAAACTATAGACACTTTTGTGTTCACTAGTTATTTATCAAGGGAGGGGAGAGGGTAACTCTGGAAAGGAATATCGAAGAAAGCTTGGTATCAATAGGGCTGGCTTCCCACCAGAAAAATCTTGATACAAATTGTGACCTCTAGAATTTCCACAAACCAACAGACATCTGAAGAGACATGGACAACATAATACATGAATGCAGATTAATTAATTAACTAGCATAGGATGATAACTAAACTGTTGTTTTTCCCCATCTCACCTTCAATCAGTAGTGATTATAGAGTAATTAATTAATTAATCGGAGTAATGCAGATTTTTCAATATGGGTCGTCCATGACAGATAGACCAACAGAGGAAGATGAAAATCGATGCATTTCATGAAATGCCGAATACCAATAGGGTTAATTCTCTAAGTCCAATGCTTACCACCAAATTTGACAATAATCTGTCACAAGGTTTTCAGCAATAGGGGCATAACTCTAGAATGGAATGTCTTAGAACACTAAACATCAACAAGATTCATCCTCTCATGACCACAATGCTTGACACCAAATTTGAAAAAGATCTGCATATTAAAATAGAACCAACTAATAAGTACATTATGAAAACATATCAGCTGTTTGTTTGTTGGTTCAATAACTTCATTATAAATTCATAAAAAAGAAAATGTGTAACGATTGCAATAATTAAATATATTAACCTTGTTCATCATCTTCATCTTCTAAATCACTTCCCATCTTTTCTTTAATCTTTTGCCTCTTGTAGCGTAAAAGATGGGTTCGATATTGTGCCATATCTTCATCACTGAGAAGATCATCATCAGACACCACAGGTAAAACTTCTTCCTTTTAAAACAATTTGGATAATTAAATACATGTATCATAGATGCCAATGAAAAATAGATATGGTAAATATACAATGTAATTAAGCCAGAATTTATTTATGAATATATGAAGACATCCTTTCTAAAACATCATAAACCCCAATTGAACCATCCTTTTTTTCAATTTGATTTTAAAATATTTACACAAATGTTTTAAATAGTATAGGCAATAGGCCTATTTACAATTTGATATGATTTTATCAAAGAAATCACATTTTGGAAATAAGATCTTAAAATATTGAACCAACGTTCAATGTATTTCTAAAATAATTTCTTGGTAAAAATGTATGAAAAATATAATTGTGACAATATTGGTTACCTGTTCTGAATAATCTCCGCCGGCATAATTTACACCCGATTCCAATAATACCTATAAGATACAAATTAATCAAAATGAGACACCATCAATCTATATGTTAAAGGAAAACTAATAACAAAATAAGGAACAGCTTACTTGTACATGTATATGTACTAGTATGTAGACTTTTTAAAATAATAATCTTAATAAGTTAATCAAAATGTGTATTTGGTTATCAAAAGTCATTTCCCCATTTCTTAAAAGCAGTGTTGCTGAATATACAGTATAGTTCGTCTATTTGTCTACAACCCCAATCTCAGACCTTCACATTCCAGGTGAGTGATTTTCAATTTGTTCAGCTCCTCATGATTTTTTAGACATGAAGGCTTGCAATCTATATAAGATATCTGAGTAGAGCATTATTTATTTGGTGCAATTTTTACCTTGTCTCTACCAGCGTGAAATTCATCAATATCATCATAAACAAAACCCCTGGAATCTGGATCTGGATCATCAATGTTGTTAAAAGCTCTTTCATCATCAGAATCAAGAATAGAAACATCTTGTGGTTTAAATCCTTTCCGTCTACAATTAGAAACCAAAAGTTTACTTAGAGATAGTATATTTTTTTCTCCAAGATAATAAATATCTTTTCTTTTAATTAATTATAGGCCTCTGTAATTACTGAATATCCAAGCAAATTGGTTCCTTGTAAAGAACATTATAAAATGGTTTTGACTTGTTATGGTTCAATTAAAGTAGGCCTACTAGTTTCTTATCATTTATGTACCAAGATCGTTGAAGCGACCAGTAGGCCTACAGTGCATTTAAAACGCTGTTTTTCTCAATAATGGTATATTAGCAATATTTGCTTATCATGTGACCATACATGTTTAAGACATTGGATTTAAACTAACGATGAGACATGTGTTAGTCTTTTAAACATGACAGTTAATGTGTTATTCAACAATAATAATACATATTTACATGTAGCTTTATAATACAGTCATTCAGGTGATCAGACAATGAATTGAAATACAACTGACATCTGTGCAATGTGAAAGGGTAGGACGATTTACCCAATACCAACCAGTACACAAATACTACTCACATACTACCTCATTATTGTGAAAATTAACATAATACTTCAATTATATAAAAACAAATTGAGTTAATATATAGCAAAAGTAATGTCAATGTCTCGCTATTCCAGTTATCTCCCTTATCAACCAATATTATCAAATATTAACCCCATACTATCAAATATCAATCTATTTCTGTAAAATAATGGGCCAATATTACCAAAAGATGAGGTAAAAGTACAATTATTTGGATGACAATACCTTTGCTTGTGGAAAATAAATTATTTATCCAATGTTTTGCCGTTCCATTTATCACTGATATAAATAGATGTTTCAGATTACGTACAAATTACGTACAAGTTTTCAGGGACATGGTTCATTGGTTCAATAAAATTAGTCAGTTTTGGATAATAATAAGGTAGTAATATGTGGTTGTATTTTGTAGTATAGCTGCATCTGATACAACTTGTCCAGATTACAGTAAAAAATTTCCTAATTCCACAAAATAACTCAATTTGGGGGTGGGGGGGTATAATTCAACTCTTCTGTTAGTTTTGCTTTGTACAATAATTAGGCATTTTGTAGTACTTAGTTATGGTGTCCATTTCTATGTATTTCCGATGGTGTCTAGAATGCAACAAATGAAATGAAATAGGGTTTAAAATCCTACTGTTCTGCTCCAACTGGACTAATGAAGACAGGCATACACCATAAAGTGTGCTATGAGGGAAATTTTGCCTGGACAATGGCCTACTCTTATATCGAATTCCAACTGCCAAGGGATCTTTTACGTGCACGCCAATGTGTACATGGGACCTTGGTTTTTTATTCCATCCAAATGACTAGACAGCTGTCCTGGCCCTGCTGCTTCACTGACAAGAGGAAACCACGCCGGAAAATCCTGATAAATCTCAGCCAACACCGGAAGCAAGCCAGCGTCTTACCCCCTTAGCCACCATAGCTCCCATGCAATAAAAGCTAGATACATGTACATGTACATGTATCCAAGTGGATATTGGCAGTGTTTAGTAAGCATAAGTTTTCTAATATTGTAAATTCTTATCTATTAGATATGTAACATTTATTGAAATGAATATTCAGGTATTATATTTTATAAGAAATCGACTAGGCTTGGGAACTAATTTGACTCCAGCCCAGTCCATGATTAATGTAACTAAAAATGTTAAGACATAGGCTCTGATTTTCTGATGTGTTTAATGTTTAAATGTCAGACCTCTCCCATTTTAAAATGTCAGACATAGCAAAACCTTTCCTTCCCGCTTCAATTTCAAAGAGATGATGTGTACCACGTGTCAGGTAGGATTATATGCTTAATTGTAGGCCCATACACGTTAATAACAATAATCATTTGTTGTTTTGAAAAACAAGCGGTTTCCATGCAAGATAGGCCTACGCCCACATTTTGCAAGAGATGGACAAAAAATAAGCTAAAACACAATTTTTAGTAAAATCAGGGGCTATAATCCAGTAATTTACGGTTTGGTCTAACATGCAATATCAAAAGGAACCAAGAACTTTGTAACATAAACATATATTTTAAGTTTCATCAAAATCGGATACAAATTGTGACCTCTACTAAAGGGTCCACAACCTTGGTATCACCAGTAGGCCTACATGTAGTCATGTATATACCTTTACACTATTTGCATTTGAGGAGCGACAATTTCGTCGGACAGTTTCAGTTCAATTTTCACGAAATTCAAACTCAATTGCCTGTACGGTGCAACAATTATATATTTAAATAGTTTTTAAAATTGAATAAAAATTTTGAAACATACATGTAGAGGGACTACAAGCTAAGAGTGCAATTTTTCTTACAATCAGGCCGGGTCATATGATCAGAAAGTTATGGTCCGCTATCAAAAGATATGTTTCATCAAAATCGGATAAAAATTTTGATGTGACTCCCATTTTTGTGTCTCAATATTTCATTGTTGTTGAAGATTTTGTCTTACTCATTGGATTTAATCATAAACCCTTAACCCTGAATTTATAGGTTTTAATCTTAAATATCTTACAAAAGTGATGGAATGTAAAAGTGATGGAAATAGAAAAGGGAGTCGGATCAAACATGATCGCCGTTAAGACGTACCTGATACATGCCAATATCAAAAGGAACCGAGATCTTTGGGATATAATAAACCTAATTGTGACCCGTGTAGAGTGTCACAAACAAAATTTGGACGGACGACCAGGGGCGACGGCAATACGTCCACATGAAAAATTGACAGTTTTGCTTTGTGATTCACATCGGTATCTGCACAGTCGAGAGATCTACTTTACTCTTTAGTGAGAGAGAGAGAAATGGGGTTTAACGTCCACACGACACAAACTAGGTCATTTCGGGACTAACACATGTTTCAATTTTATTTCAATAATTGGCTTGCGCGTAGGGGTCTTTCGCAGTGGGAGGAAACCCACGAGGTTGGACAGGCGACCCTACTCCTTGTCACGTACAACCGGGGAATTGATACCCCACCAGTTGACTCAATGACAGACCGTATGATACAGCCTAGCTACGAAAACGTAGCTAAAAACGTTGAGATATACTGATGTGTTTGTTTTTAGCTACGATTGGATGCCTTTAGTTCTAAGTGGCAAACTCAATTTCTTTATTAATGCATGTAACATCTTTAAAATAGATAAGTTTATGATATTATGATTAATTAAACTTACAGAGACCAATGTAGTGGCACAACTGTCGCCTAACTCCAAATATTTGCGTTTAAATTAATGAAGCGTTGTTTTTGTCTGACATTTCACCGCCATCGAAATCAATTCATAGTTACTGTGCTTTCGATTGTCCTTTTGATTGGCTGTTATAAAAGCCTTATATTTAGCTCCGCCTTCAATATGATGACAGCGTATCGTTTAAAAAGATGGCGGTCTTAGTAACGGCTTAACGCCTCGATTTTAAAAACAACGATTTGTACCTGTTTCAGGTAGGATTATATGCTCAATTGTAGTTGGGTGTTGTAGAAATATTATAAATAACAATAATCAATCGTTGTTTTGATTAAAACTATTGTCAATTTTGTTTAAAAATGCCGGGTGTAAATCGCTCCCGCAGGTGCAACGTTGTAGGTAATGGCCTCATGTCTTATCTCGAAACACGGAGGGTTGAGAGATTTAGGTTTGTTATCTAGATACAGCCCAGCGCGCACGTGCTAACCATTCGGCCATCCAATCCCCCATGGCTGATCAGGCGCTATTGCACTTTCGTACCTCTACCAGTTCCCATGGTCGTAGGCACTTGAAATTTTCAGAGGATGTTAAGGGGGGCTAGCAATGACCACACACCAAATTTCAGCCGAATCGATAAATAACTTTTTATTTTACCGACCTTTTAATTTCTAACGAGAGAGAACTTCATCCGTTTGACGCCATTTGCTTTGTTTACTAATTAGACTTGAATAACAAGACACTAAGACGGAAACCGACTCGAATAACAAGACACTTAGACGGAAACCGACACACTGCACTAGCTGCCTAACACTGCAGTTCATAAAAATTAATATAATTTTCGTATACTTTAATTTTTGCGCGAAGCCACCATTTTCTATAAAATACTATTTGGTGTTGATCAGTGGATTGGCCTTTAGGTGTGAATATTGCCGTGACCTTGATTTTGACCTTGAGGCCAAACTTCCCATCCATATCGGGGCCTTTGCGTTTATGCTTGCCGTGGCCTTATTTCCTACTGTATTATCAAAGTTAATGTTCGAGGTGAAAGCAGAGATGACGTCCTTCAGAAAAGATAATTGGGTTAAAGTCGTAGGTCAAGGTCATGTTACAGAAAACTAAACTCAAACTTTTCAAAGTCATTTTTGGGACATTTGACCTTGACTTACGACCTTGACCCCGTTACCATTTTCGAAGGCTATCACATTGGCTTGAATCATGAACGTTTACCTTGGTCCTATCGCACACTGCTCGGTCAGAAAACGGTCAAACGCAGAGGGTCCGTGTCCGAAAGGAAGTCAATAGGCGTGGTCAATGTGAAAGGTCGTGGTGACCTCCACTAGTCACCGTTAACCATCCGTAACCTTGACTCTGACCTTGAGTCCAAACGTCCCATCCATCTCGGGCCCTTTGCGTTTATGCTTGCCGTGGCCTTATTTCTAACTGTATTATCAAAGTTAATGTTCGAGGTGAAAGCAGAGACGACGTCCTCCAGAAAAGATAATTGGGTCAAAGTCGTAGGTCAAGGTCATCTTACAGAAAACTAAACTCGGACTTTTCAAAGTCAGTTTTGGGACATTTGACCTTGACTTACGACCTTGACCTCGTAACCATTTTCGAAGGCTATCACCTTGACTTGAACCATCGACGTTTACTTTGGTCCTGTCGCACACTGTTCGGTCAGAAAAGGGTCAAACGCAAAGGGCCCGTGTCCGAAAGGAAGTCAATGGGCGTGGTCAATGTGAAAGGTCGTGGTGACCTCCACTAGTCACCTTTAACCATCTGTGACCTTGACTTTGACCTTGAGTCCAAACTTCCTATCCATCTCGGGCCATTTTCGTTTATGCTTGCCGTGACCCTATTTCTTACTGTATTATCAAAGTTAATGCTTGAGGTGAAAGCAGAGACATCGTCCTTCAGAAAAGTTAAAAGGTCAAAGTCGTAGGTCAAGGTCTTGTTACAGAAAACTAAACTCAAACTTTCAAAGTCAGTTTTGGGACATTTGACCTTGACTTACGACCTTGACCTCGTAACCATTTTCGAAGGCTATCACCTTGACTTGAACCATCGACGTTTACTTTGGTCCTGTCGCACACTGTTCGGTCAGAAAAGGGTCAAACGCAAAGGGCCCGTGTCCGAAAGGAAGTCAAGGGCGTGGTCAATGTGAAAGGTCGTGGTGACCTCCACTAGTCACCTTTAACCATCTGTGACCTTGACTTTGACCTTGAGTCCAAACTTCCTATCCATCTCGGGCCCTTTTCGTTTATGCTTGCCGTGACCCTATTTCTTACTGTATTATCAAAGTTAATGCTTGAGGTGAAAGCAGAGACAACGTCCTTCAGAAAAGTTAAAAGGTCAAAGTCGTAGGTCAAGGTCATGTTACAGAAAACTAAACTCAAACTTTCAAAGTCAGTTTTGGGACATTTGACCTTGACTTACGACCTTGACCTCGTAACCATTTTCGAAGGCTATCAACTTGGCTTGAATCATGGGCGTTTACCTTGGTCCTGTCGCACACTGCTCGATCAGAAAACGGTCAAACGCAGAGGGGCCCATGCCCGAAAGGAAGTCAAGGGCGTGGTCAATGTGAAAGTTCGTGGTGACCTCCACTAGTCACCTTTAACCATACGTGACCTCGACATCGACCTTGAGTCCAAACTTCCCATCCATCTCGGGCCCTTTTCGTTTATGCTTGCCGTGACCCTATTTCTTACTGTATTATCAAAGTTAATGCTTGAGGTGAAAGCAGAGACAACGTCCTTCAGAAAAGATAAATGGGTCAAAGTCGTAGGTCAAGGTCATGTTACAGAAAACTGAACTCAAACTTTTCAAAGTCAGTTTTGGGACATTTGACCTTGACTTACGACCTTGATCCCATAACCATTTTCAAAGCCCATAATCTTGGCTTGAACCATCGACGTTTACCCTGGCCCTGTCGCACACTGCTCGGTCAGAAAACGGTCAAACGCAGAGGGGCCCGTGTCCGAAAGAACGTCAAAGGGCGTGGTCAATGTGAAAGTTCGTGGTGACCTCCACTAGTCACCTTTAACCATCCGTGACCTTGACTTCGACCTTGAGTCCAAACTTCCCATCAATCTCGGGCCCTTTTCGTTTATGCTTGCCGTGACCCTATTTCTTACTGTATTATCAAAGTTAATGTTTGAGGTGAAATCAAAGACAATGTCCCTCAGAAAAGATAATTGGGTCAAATTCGTAGGTCAAGGTCATGTTATAGAAAACTGAACTCAAACTTTTCAAGGTCAGTTTTGGGACATTTGACCTTGACTTACGAGCTTGACCCGTAACCATTTTCAAAGCCCATCATCTTGGCTTGAACCATCGACTTTTACCCTGGCCCTGTCCCAAAAATGAAATCAGGTCACGGCACGCATAAACGCAAAGGGTCCGAGATGGATGGGAAGTTCGGACTCTAGGTCAGGGTCAAGGATGGTTAACGGTGACTAGTGGAGGTCACCACGACCTTTCACATTGACCACGCCCATTGACTTCCTTTCGGACACGGGCCCCTCTCCGTTTGACCCTTTTCTGACCGAGCAGTGTGTGACAGAACCAAGGTAAGCGTCCATGATTCAAGCCATGGTGATAGCCTTCGAAAATGGTTACGGGGTCAAGGTCGTAAGTCAAGGTCAAATGTCCAAAAAATGACTTTGAAAAGTTTGAGTTTAGTTTTCTGTAACATGACCTTGACCTACGACTTTGACTCAATCATCTTTTCCGAAGGACGTCGTCTCTGCTTTCACCTCGAACATTAACTTTGAAAATACAGTAAGAAATAAGGCCACGGCAATCATAAACGCAAAGGCCCTGATATGGATGGGAAGTTAAGACTCATGGTCAAAATCAAGGTCACGGCAATATTCACACCTAAAGGCCAATCCACTGATCAACACCAAATAGTATTTTATAGAACATGGTGGCTTCGCGCAAAAATTAAAGTATACGAAAATTATATTAATTTTTATGAACTGCAGATATAGGCAGCTAGTGCAGTGTGTCGGTTTCCGTCTTAGTGTCTTGTTATTCGAGTCTAAATAGTAAACAAAGCAAATGGCGTCAAACAGATGAAGTTCTCTCTCGTTAGAAATTAAAAGGTCGGTAAAATAAAAATGTTATTGATCGATTCGGCTGAAATTTGGTGTGTGGTCATTGCTAGTCTCCCTTAACATCCTCTAATAATTTCAAGTTCCTACGACCACGGGAACTGGTAGAGGTACGAAAGTGCAATAGCGCCGGCTGATCATTGCCCATCTTAGTACTTACTACTTTACATGTATTTTTTATTTACTATTGTATTATTAAATTAGGCTATTAGCCTATTGAATTTATGTAAATAATGTTTACACTTAGTATAAAAAATAAATAGAAAAAAAAACAAAAAACACCAAATAACAGTGAAACAATAATTGGAAATTAACTTTACCTTTTTCCCATTTCAAATATTCAGAGATTGAAGTTATATCAAATTAAAGTCCAAAATAAACTGTTTACAAATTTTCTCAATACACGTGCGTGCAAACCTTTCTAGTCTCTAATAAAGGAGATCCGTCGGTAGGGGAGGTAACAATACATTCAAGATGGATTCAGACTAGTAATCTTCTACCCATTGACTTCATGAATGTTAAATCCATGCTCTTCTTTGGTCTAAAACATTTTTTTGGCATAGTGTGTTGATTGGCCGTAGAGAGAAGGTAACTGCATAATTTTCAACCCATTGACTTTAATGTTCAATCCATGCCATTTCTCTGCCTATAATAATTTTTTTTGTACATTCTGATGTCTCCACGTTTGCTACACCCTGTCATTGTCAAAGGAATCTGTTGTCTTTCCCCAAGTCAAGTTTTTCCTTTCCTGATCCTTCCTTCTCATCAAAATCAAACACTTTTTATCGATTCTAGACCAAAAAGTCAACAAAAATTGTCATGCAAACAGCGTTGGGGAAAGGTAGAAAGAATAGCCATATATTTAATACATAATACATGTACATCCATTTTCAACCAACTCGGAATTACATGTATATGACATTCATAACATTAATCAAAGCTACCATGACAAAATATACCCCACACCCTACTGACCTATCAGAATGTATGGTTGAACCAAATTAAAATTTAGTTATCAAACCTGCTTTCTTATAATATATTATTGAATTGCAGACAACTTATTTACCAATATGTATTTTTCTGGAACCCTGTCTTTAACTTAAAGAATAAAAATTTGGGTATCAATGTAAAACTTCAGATTTTTTAGCATGCATAATGTGAGTGCCATCTTATTCTTGGATTGGAATAAAATCATTTTAAATTAATTATTTGAACCCCAATATTGTTCTTCATAAAGGGATTCTGTCCACTTGTGTTTTGTTTTATGGGTGTTTTGTCAGTATTTTTTGTTTGTCCAGTTACCAAACTTTATCAACCTTTTCAGGTTATCTTCTTTATAATTTAAGCTATTATTTCAGCTATATATTGTGCAATATTAGTTCATCAACAGGAAAATCTTTTACAGAACATTGGTGGGGTGATAGTCTTGGTAATCAAAAACTGTATGTCCCTACCAAACCAATCACCCTAGGAAATAAATTACATCAAACACAGAGAAGAAATTGAACATATCAAGTTTTACTTTATTATAGGCCTATACAATCATTTATTAATATGAATTTATACAAATACTGTAAATACAATACTATGTATAAATTGACCATATCCAGTTTTTCTTTATTACAGGCCTGTAAAATAATTTTATAATGTACATTTATACAATTAAATACAAAATCTATTAATTTACATTTATACAAATAAATACAATATCACCTATAATAGCAATTTATTAAACATAGGACAAGAAGATGCAAAGATGAAAAAAAAATAAATTACTGAAAATGGCCAGTAAAAATGTCTATACCATAATAGAAAGGAAATTAGCTGTACATGTATATTACAAGAGAAATAAATACAACAATTAAGCTATATTAAGCACTCTAAGCAAAATAATCATGAGAAATGGGGTTCATTATGAAATCTGTGTCTTTTTTATTCTTGCGTTCATGTCTCCAACTGGGCTAATGAAGATGGGGGTCTCTTTGACATTTGGAAGGAGAGGGTGGTAAAGTAGTCTAACATTTGCAGCTTTTTAGATCAGAAGGTCTGCCATTGATTTAAGTGTTGTGGTTTTGATCCTGTGCTTGTATGTGACTAAAAAAACTGAACTTGGTTAGTGGTCATGTAGCACTCTTAACTCTCAATTAGTCTTTTAAGGCCAGACCTGAAGTGTGAATAAAACAGCAAAAGTTTATAAGGCATTTATTCTTTTAAAAGAGTATCGCGAAACTCGTGTTTCCTTCTGCATAATTGTAAAATACAACATATAACAAAATACAAATACTATTTCATAGCCTTGGCTATTGTTACGCAATGGATATTATACAGAAGACATCTTACTCCTATGTTCTATAGTGAAAACCATAACAAATTATTCCGCAAAGTTGTGTTGTCTGATTCCTAACTAAATGGTCCAATAACGGAGTTACGTCCCTTTTGTTTATAATAGCAACTAAAATCCTATAGCTATTCTTGACAGAATAACGACAAACTAGCTGACTTTAACTACCGTTCATGATAAACTTATAGATATCATATGTACATAACAGGTTTATACAGAATTATTATCATGAAATGGAAATGAACACTTGCACTTGGAATATCACCAAAGTGCGCAGGGGGGTCTGACAATTGACAATGCGCGGGGCCCTATTCAATTGTTGATGTGTGCTATGATTTCTTATATGAGGAAAACATCAAATATAACCATAAATAGACTAGAACAATCATTAAATGACATGACCATTGTATTCCTGACTACCTGAGCTTCAAATTGATGTACAATTTATATAATGACTATTATTATTAATTACCTGAAGTGTGAATAAAACAGCAAAAGTTTATAAGGCATTTATTCTTTTAAAAGAGTATGGCGAAACTCGTGTTTCCTTCTGCATAATTTAGCCAATCAAATTGCTGGATTTACTAATCGTTACACTAACGTTTATATACCGGAACATCCAGACTCTCATTACATGTACCAAAGAATACGACAAATCAATCATCACAAAGGGGATTCTAACCTGCGTCACCTTGGTCACATACTAAAATGTATCATGGATGGACAAATTTATGCAGTTTGAATATACTCCAGAATCAATTAATAAACGTAATTACCCTGTACCTTACAGTCACATAAAAAAATATGAGATCTAACTCACAATATGACAATTAAATTGGTAACAGACAGCACATCGATAATGCTACTTCCCCACTAACTACCCTTCAAAAAAGAAATAGCTGAACAAAATATTACATGTACTAATCGACAATCAACATTTAACATTTAAATAATACATTTCATCAATAAACAAGAATCCTGCATTTATATAACATTTTAAAAGGTAAAAGAAATTTAGAATTTAATATTTGAACATTTATTATAGAACTGTAATATAATATATAGACTACATATCCAATTCGACAAAAAATGAGCATTACAAAATAATAATTTTTTTTTAAGAAAATATGCATACTAATGATACTAATTATTATGTCTATTATGCATACATAATATATTTTTTTGATAATCTCATATGTCCAAAGCTACTATTACCTGGTTGAACACTCTGAATGAAATATATTACAAATTGAACAAATTTCTACGTGATCTTCACAGTTGTATTCTCATCAAATATTTATGTGTGTGGTGTTTTAAAATAAAGCTACCTCACTCATTTACAAAAGTATACCAACAGAGTGTGGTCCATTTAGGACTATATTTTATCGTTAATGGCAATGTTCTTAAAATGTGAATCCATTTGAATTCATAAGCTTTTCTGATGGCATCGGTTTTTAATTTAATGGTACAGTAAAATCATGGTTTAATTGTGATTTTAGCCTCATCATATCAAATTATTAATAGATCACATCTAGCACATGTTACAAAATTCACTTTCTTAGTTCATCAGAAACAGAATGAATTTTCTTGTGCATCTGATCATGTATTTTGAAGCCAATAACATGGGTTTTTATAGATATTGTTTTAGAATGTCGAATATGGGGTGTTCCAAAAAAATATAAATATTAACCAGCGGTTGCCAGCAAGATATGCCCACATTTTGCAACAGATGGACAGAGAACAAGCTTAGAAAAAAAGTGATTTTTTTGTACAATCAGGGACCATAATCCAGGAAGTTACGGTCCGATATGCACAAATATGGAAAGGAACTGAGAACTTTTGGATATAACCATTATTATATTTTAAATTTCATCAAGATTGGATAAAAACTGTGACTTCTAGAAGGTCCACAACCTTGGTATTACATATCTTTATGTTGAAGGGGGTCAAATGCCGGGGCTAAAATGACCACACACAAGGGTTCATTCCTTGAAAATTCTTTATTAGCTATAAAAAGAAACCCTGCAAATATACAAGTAATATAATAAATACAATGCATAAAAAAACAGTATTAAAGCATGGTTTAAAAGTAATAATAACGATAATATAAAATCATATGTATAATATACATGTAACTCTTCTCTTAAGTGACTTAAACTATGAAATACAGATATACTCGTAAAAGTATGAAATATACTTATTATCGCAGCGTAAATAATAATAATACTAATTAATACTAATAATTAGATCTTGAGAATAAAACTAATATTGCTTACCCTAAAGAGGGGTTTTATAATTACTACCAATTGGTATAAAGGTGAAATACCTTTAAACGTTGGAACACTGTAAATGAAATATAAATGTGATGTAAATGACTGTAAGTGTATATCTAAAGTGAAATACTTTAAATAATGTTTTAACTATATAATGATGTAATCTTTCCCCATTTCAAACTATCAACTTATACTTTAAAGAAATTCAACATGGCTGCCACTTTAAAACAAAGACTAATTCCATAGATATAATTATAAACATACCTGATAAATAAACTGTCAAACCACTATTGAAGAAGCTTCAATATTTACATCTAGCAACACTTGTATACTAATAAATACGCAATACCAGTTAACAACCTTTATATAACCAAGGAGAGGAAAAGTGTCTTCCTTTGCATATAAAAACTATAGGACGAATGTCTCCAAGGAAACTTTCATACAACAACTCACTAGACAAATAGGAAAGGTTAAAGTTGAAGATATGGTGAGTGGAACTCACTACAGACCAGGTACAGAGTGGATAGTATAGAATAGGTTTAAAGGGATAGTACAACCACTATTAGTTTATATTAAGTGCAGATTAAAATGACTAAAAACCAACTATATATATTAAAAATATCACTCTGTCACATTTACACTATTTGCGTACAAGTAACAACCATTTTGTCAAGCAGTTTCGGTTCGATTTTCACGAGATTCGAACTCAACCATCATTAGTGTGTAACAGCGATATGTTTAAACAATTTTTAAAATCGGATAAAATCTAAAATTGCGATTTTTTTGTACCACCAAGGAGCATAATCCAATATGCATGAATATTTAAAGGAACAGAGGTCTTTGGGACATAAACAAATGTTTTAAGTTTCATCAAAATCGGATCACAAATTGTGACCTCTAGAGGGTCCAATACCTTGATATTACATACTTTAACACTATTTGTGTACATAGAGTGGCCATTTTGTCTGGCAGTTTTGGTCCGATTTTCACGAAATTCTAACGCCATCATCATTATGGTGTAACGTAGATATATTTGAACGTTTTTTTTAAATCGGATAAAAATTGTGACCTCTAGGGGGGGCAAAAGCTAAAAACGTGATTCAGGAAGTTTCATCTAAATTGGATAAAAATTGTGACGTCTAGAGTGACCACAAGCTAAAACCGTGATTTTTCATATAATCAGGGGCCATAATCCATGTAGTTTCGATCCGATAGATGCCAATATCGAAAAGAACCGCGATCTTTTGGAGATAAACCTATATTTCAAGTTTTGTCAAAAAGGCATAAGAATTGTGACTAGTATCATATCCACAAACAAATTGTGGACGGACAGACTGGGACGATGACAATATACGTCTACATTATAATGTGGGCGTATAAAAACCAAAAATGTCATACTTTCTTGGAAATGAATACCGACTAGAACAATAATTTTCAACCCTAAATGTTTAGCACAAGAAGTGTGGATAGCTACATGTTGTTTTAAATGACTACACATAACGGTAAATTCATGAAAGTCTTTTGAAATACGTCATGTTGTGTACAACATTTTGAAATGACGTATTTGTACAATATCATGATTCTTAAACTTTGGCACATTTTGGCCCTCTTGATCAATTTGGAAAAGTCTGAATACAACCTTTTGACTAGGCAATGACAATGTTCAATATACACTTTACATACTGAACTAATTCTCTCACATTTACAGAACAAATTCAAGTTTGGCACAGAATTAAAAAAAGTTGCTGTTCAGACCTATGGAATGATCCTGTACTTATAATCAAATATAGCTAAAATATCAAACAAATTTAATTACTGATTATATGTAGGATTTCTTTTTAATTTTGGAAATTATACTTAAAGGGGCATTGTGTAAGATTTAGATAAGGAGCTTGCTGTTCCCACTTTAATATTTCAATAATAGATAATGAAAATTGAATATATTAAAAATTTCATTCAAATTACTTTATTTTGAGCAAAGTTATCAATGGTTGTAGTTTTGATAAGATGTCTTAGCCTCGCTTCTCCATTTTAAATTAAATCATTAAATGTTTGAACAGTTCTAATTTACTTAGAATCTGAGCTATTCGATGACATCAAGTGTTGATTGCGGCCTGTTGAAATACCCTTCTGCTGTATATCGGAATCATCTGGTTTGACTTTATCTGGTATTGGAGTATAAAATGAATTGCCTCGATATAATATGTAATGTTGAACCATAAATAAGATGTCAAATAAAATTGAAAAAAAACCCAAACCAAACTTTGTTGGATCACCAAAAATAGATGCCCAATCATCTGAAAATACACATTAAATGAATTTTTAAAGATCAACAAATAAAGTCTACATGTGAAGAAATTGTAACTGTCAATAGAAAAACTGCTTAAGAAAATACAGCCACAACAAACAATACACTTACAGAGCAAATATATTTATATGACAGTTTCCACATGCTTATATTTCTAACATCATGTAATGTGTATAATCTACAGCATTCTTATATAATGCCATTTAATGTGGATGGGGGTGGCTCAATGATTAAACACATGTGCGTTAGATCACAACGTCTGTCATTGAGTCAAGTGGTGTGGATTCCGTTGTATGTGACAAGGAGTAGGGTCGCTTGTCCAACCTCATGGGTTTTCTCAGAGTCTCCGATTTCATCTCACTGTTAAAGAAATGAAATGGGGTTTAACGTCCTACTGTTCTGCACACTGTTAAAGACCCCTACTTGTAAGCGTATTATTGAAATAAAATTGAACTCTATATTAGTCCTGAAATGATCTAGCTTGTGTCGAGTTGACATTAAACCCCATTTCTCTCCCTATCTCTTTAATGTGGATGAATATTGCTAACATCTGTGTATATCGACCTTCCACAATGTCTTTTAGACATTTTACATGTGTACGTTCTCGTCAGATATTGTTTTCAAATTCTTAGGGATTGTTTATTGAGATACAAAGATGGACAATTTTTTCCAGTTTTTGGATAATTTATGGATGGTGGGAGTTTTCCGACAGAAGTTTTTAAAACTCTGTTCGATGGTTAATTGAGATCTAAGGAATGACCCTTTCAGATTCGACACACTTCCATTCACATTATGACTATTAAAGCTTCTAAATGCGTTAGTTTTATTTTGCTTAGTTTTATTTCTGTTCACATTTTGACTTTTAAAACTTCTAAATGTGTTACAGTTCAATTATGGACAACTTTGCTAGGTATATTAGGAGGTATTACAAGCCCAAGTATTATGTCATGACAATAAAATATACTTACTACTGTTGTAAGACAATAAAAACATCTGTAGTAGACTTAAACTACCTCCTGTACAATCTAATAAAACATTACCGATACTCCAACCATCTGTACTCTTTCTTGTATAATTCATATATGCCTAAAAATTTCAAAAGCATTATTCTACATTTCGTTACACTATAGTCTCCACAAAGTAGGATTTTCAAAATCCTGTAAATTCTTATCCCAGGATCCAGGAGGGAATTTGCGCTCCATCCCAAAACGTGATTCCCGGGGAGTTTGTATCATCATGGTTGTCGCTTGTTGTATGCTGGACAAAGTATGTCACATGATTGTGAATGCACGAATCTCACTGGCTGTGTACTATAAAGTTAGGGGCATGAATCACGACGGGAAGGTGGGGGACTTGGTACCTTACTGCCAGCCAGCGCTCACTCGTAATATGAATCAGCCCTGTTTAGATCGGGGTTAGGGTGACAAAGCACACTACACTGCAGGTGCATGCCATCATCCTAGCGATCCTGATTAGTGGTTTATGAAAGGTCTCTAAGTCTAACAGCACAATTGTGGAAATGGAGGCGGTAAAACTTATGCAACAATAGCATCTCATTTACGACTGGCTCTTCTGTAGTACTATGCATTAGGGGTTAGATGTGGAACGTGTACTGTCAAAAACTCCCTGCATCCAACGTGAGACACATATTCTCTTCTGCTACACATTTTATTAGCCTTGTTATATTTGTAATTCTCTTCTTTTAGACTTTTTTACGTTGTGAATTTACAGCTTACTCAGATTATGGTTTCACACAGGAAATACAATGCAACAGTTTGTTTCTACATTTTATATCAAGCACTGGATACATAGGCTACAAGCTTAGGTTACATTACAATACTTAAAATTAACATGTCTCTCTCTCCACCCCCTAATTCGCAGACTGAGTTTACTGACAGAATGATAACCTCATATGGCTATCCTACGACTTAAAGGGGAATTCTGAATCCAGGTGGTGTCCCTTGAACCTCAACGGTATCTACATGGTATCTCCTCTCTCTCAATGCATGTCTAAAGTCTATAGGACCTAAATCAGTCTTATAACATTGACAGTGTCTTTGAGACAGCTCTGTCAATTATTTAATTGGAGAAATGTTACGTAATTAATTATGATGATTGGTTACTAAGCCTAATGACGTCGAGAACCACCCTTATATGGACAGTAGAAACTTTCCACGAAGAGTTTCAGACGTGTTATTTTGTTATTAACCCAGAATTAAATTATCACTGATTTTATATAAAAACCTATCACTCATTTAATTTGAGTGTGTGAAATGTGACTTCTCTACAATATGTGAACCCAATAACTAGTTAAAGATATTATAACACTTCTTACAAGTTTTACACTTGTTTGCAATCGGTGCATGGGGACGTTAAACCCCCATGAAAGAAAGTATGACTGGTAAATAGTGGACAAAGAAGGTTTAAATTAATTAGCAATATTACCACTAACCTGAGGTACATATTTGATGAGAGTAACTCCTAGTTTAATATACGAGAAATAATACAGATATGTCAGCCATGTTATCTTTCCACCAACAGCTACAAACAGGGTTACTACAGAAAACAGGATGGCAATTCCAACCAAAACTTTACAGATTTTAGATATTTTTTGATCATCACGCTGGAAAGAAAATCACAATGTGAATGTGATTGTATTTATAATTAACATTCAGTAAATTGAACTTGAGAATAGGAAGACTGATAAGGCAGACTCATTTCAACTAGGATATTCAAAGGCATTAACCTAAAGATCGGTTGCCAGGTAACGAAACATAATTCCACAGCTGCTAAGTTGTCCGAGCAGTCCACAAGGGTTGTGACATGTTGATTGTTTTGTTGGTAATGGGAGCATTTAAAAGACACTAAAAAATGATAAAGGGTAACAACTGATTAAATAATTATCAGAAGTAACTAAAATTTGATTGGTGTCTACTTCTTGAAGATGCTAACATTTATTACACAAAATATTGAAAATCTTTCAAAAATTAATAGGTTTTATCACATAAATACTATGGATTAATCAATCCAAAAATAGCTTTAGCCACTAGAGTGTCGTGTTTTAAGAGAATTCAATTTCAGAATGTTGCATTGGGTACCTCCCTAAAGTGAGGAACAGGCGAGTGTATTTTTTTGCCTGATCGAGCCGATTTTTAAAAATCGCTCGAAAACAATGCCCATGTGCCCCGTCACGGCAACGACGATTCTGCTCGGCGAAACATTCGCCCGATCAATTGCTCATATTTAGCATGTTAGATATTTTCGGCTGAATATTTTTCGCCGGCGATCAAATTTGCTTGTGTGTCGGTGTAGTGCGTATATAGTCGGGCGAACTATGTCAATCGGAGACATGATTTATATCACATGATCTCAAAATATCTGCCCCCACTGCCGAAGCCTGAAATCTAACTCCTGTACCACAAGTTGCAATTTGTCAAACGAGCCCTTCTAGGTATGCTGCATTTTATTTTTATCAAATAAATAGCAAGCTACAACAGCAATCTTACGATTTCAGCGATTCGCCGTTTAGAGCAAGTCACATGATCAACGTAAATTTACTCGCAGAATGGCATACACTCTTGAGACGATCGCTACATGTGCCTATTCGTGATCAGCCGTAAAAAAACACTGGTGAATTTTAATCGGTGCGATCAGGCGAAAAAATACACTTGGCTGCCCTTAGCATTATGTACAGTCATATAGTGTATTATTACCTCATAAATAAAACATTGTGATATTGTAATTATTGTAATAAATACAGCATGTATGGTAAATATAACATCATTTAATTGTACAGGATTAATACCTCTAGGGTGGTCATTAGCATACTCATTCTGAAAATAATAAACAATATTACATAAATGAAATCTTGTAAACAAAAGTGAATTTTTCACAAAAATATTAAATTTTCCACTGCTTAATCCCTGTTAATATGTACTTAGATTGATTATTTAACATTTATTTAATGTAAATACAAACGCTACATAACCTCCCAGCTTGGATTAAATCTGATTTATCAAAGGCCTATAATTTCTGTATGACCACAGTAAAACGCAGCGGGCGTATTACATCAATCAATGGAATTTTAATTCAACATAACTTTGTAAATACTGAAAGGAATTAACCAATTTTGGACCGATAATCCTTTTAGAGATTCATCTTTCACAATATTATAGTTTGCAATGGATTCATATAGTTTATAAATGTTGCATTGAGACATTAAAGAGTACATTAAACGATTATATGAATATAAATGCCTACAATATCTATATCTTTTAATCATTGCAATCTGAAATTCTCCTTTAATAAAATCAAAATAACATATGTATTAATTTAAATGTAGAAAACAATCTTTTTCCTAACTACAAGTTACATAAAGCTTGCACAATAGGCTAAAAAAAATGACTGTATGAAATAATTTGAATCATAAAATGATTTAAACATCTGAAATTGCAATATTTCTCGCCAAATTCAAATTTTGATAGGAATTAATTCCAGACTTTGCAGAGTTATATTAAAGGCTAAAAAAAAAAATTTTTTTAATCTAAGAAGAAAACAATTACCGGTATTGGTACCTGGTAGTTAAATTTAAATGCAGTTAAACTGTCTAACAATATGACTATCCACCTTTCAATTTGTTTTCCTTCATTCTATATTCCATATTTCATAATTTACATGGTCTAGTTTTACTTAACATTTGACAAGTTTATTATTGGGTCATGTTATAACATGCTAATGTAAACAATACTCTTCCATAATGACAAGACATCACCCAATGATCTATTTATGAATATTACAGTTTCATGCATAACACAAATAATTTAAAGAAAGGATATAATAAACATGTACATGTAAACAAACAAATAAACAATGAAAACAATTGCAGGATGGCAAATTTCATTTTTTTAAAGTTTAAAATGACAAAATGTTTCAAGGATTCAGAAACTTAGCACATTAAATGGACACATATTACCTTAATTGATGGCAACCAAAACATACCAACATTGAAAAAACCATAAGCTAAAAAGCCTAATATGTTGTATGTTAAGTAGTCAAAATTTAACCCAATGACACTGAAATTATAAAGTCATTAATTTGTAACTGACCTTAACGAGTGGAATCCAATACATTCCGATATTAAACAAACCATAGGCTAAAAACCCAGTTAAATTATAAGAAAGGAAATCAAAATTCAAGCCTACAACACTGAAAAAGAATATGATTGTTATAATATAAGAAGACAAATAAAATTGATATTTTTTCCTTTTAATTTTAGGGATAATCAAAAGTCCAGACAGATTAACATATATTTGCAAAACATAATGCATTATCATAAAGCTGGGTTGATTTTTTTTTTTTTTTTTTACATAAGCCTAAATCTGCGTGATTTACCGTGTCAGTGATTAATGCAGGACAGAGGGTCTGGCAAGGAACAATGCCTAGTTATTTTGATGGGACAATAAAATGAGGTCCCATGTACAAAAGGCTCATAGTACCCTGCATGATATCTTCATAAAGCTAGTTGGTTCTGAAAGTAGCACTTTAAACCCAGGCCCGAAGCCAGGGTAGGGGGGTCCGGGGGGGGGGGGGGGGTCCGGGGGGGGGGGGGGGCGGGGTGTCTCTCTTTTGAAAATTGAGTAGCTGTAAACGAGTTTCTAAGCATAGAAATCGACAATTAATTGTTCTAAGAACGAACTATTCTGAGTGTTTTTCAAGAAATATATTCAAATCATACATAGGTAATTTATAAATATGGTCGACAACTTTTTGTCAGGGGGGGCAAGATTATTTCCAGGGGGGGCTTCGCCCCCTCAGGCCCCCCCTTGGCTACGGGCCTGTTTAAACCCCATTTCATTTTAGCGTTTCGGAGTACAGCTCTTCATGTAATACAGTTATGCAGTAAACTATATAAATATTATCAACAAACCTTTTCCTTTTGAAATTTGAGTAAACCTGTGGATAAAATGAAACACTCCATGCCACAAAATATATCCAACCAATGACAGAATTAATGACAACCAGCATAGTACTGTGATAAACATCAATGCGTACATAAACATCCTTTAGACTATAATTAAAATGAAACATATTCATAAAAAATATGAGATTTCCAAAACATATAAGAAAATATATCAGAATTGATAGAGAATGTATACAGTCCGTACCTATATAATATTTTATTTAATTTTATTTTCGTTTAGTTTAGAACAGACTTTACCTTTTGCACAGTCACAGTGGTGAGATTTAACATACAGATCTGTCAATATGATGCCGTTGGTTGATTTGGGTTACAGACAGAAAGTCTTTGCGAAGGAAAATAGTATCTTTTCACTAGGTTAAATCGGCAGGTCCTGTCAATAAGTGGCGAGTTTCATTTGTTGGTCATTATGGAAAATTTCACATAAGATTTTATTTCAGTCCATGAAAAAATGCCAAAAAAAACCCCAATCAATCAATAATTAGTATTTCCAGTGATGGGGTGCCCCACACAGCCAGAATTGAGCTCTAATAAAAGTTGAACTTCTCAGTGAATACTTATAATGTTTCTATATAAATAAATCCAGGCCTGTCAATCAGCTGGGGACGTTTAGTAGACTTGTTTGGTATGACTAATCCCAAACCAAGGACATGTAACCTATATTGCACTTGAAAATGGTTGAGTGTGGTGCTGGCTTGTCATGTACAATGTACATTGTAGCATATTTTCATTCTACTTTATATCAGGGCTTCCACTTCAAAATTTTCACTGTCGGTCATTTTCAAATTTCATGTTTTTTTATTCATAGTAGGGTATTGTGAATTCACGTGTCTATACCACTTTGTAAGAATGGTGTACACAAAAATTAAATTTTGGGCTTAAAACTGAAATAGTTACATTTTGGAGGTCGATCGTAGCCATGTTTAAAAATTGAGTTTTGAAAAAAAGACTATTTTTCCGGCATGCAAAATGACCGATGAATCAGATCTAGTTACGGTCATTTTCCATAGCCCTAGGTCTTGACCGACATATACGGTCATCGTGGAACCCATGCTTTATATGGTTATAACTTACCAAATGCAGCATGACCATTTATTTAGTGATTATAAATGAGGAAAGATGGCATAATTGTCAATATATTTGGGATATTTTGTATCGTGGGGTACCCTACCATTGGCATTGACCAGAAGCAAGTCTGGCGCAGGTTTGAAATGTTTATCTTTCTCAATTTATCTTAAAGATAAACAAACACTTACTCCTGTAGTTCTGTTGAGGTAGAGTTTATACCCAGAATAACATGACCTGGACTTTCAGATTTCACTAAGAATGGTACTTTCTCAGTACTATTGGCTGGTATGGTTACATTAGGAACATCCCTTATCAATTTTGTATCTTGCTCAAATTTAATCTCACTACCAATCTCATATGTAAATACTATTAAAGCTGATTCATCAAGTTCAGATCTGAAAGAATAATAGATCACATTGTAGCCTATAGTTTTAATATCTACTGTATGGGATAATGTTAATATTACAAATATTTTGATGATGATGGTGATATAATGTGTATCTTTATGTACAATCTACCTCATAAATCTAGAAAATATTTACAAGAAGTATGTAGACTATATTTCCATTTTGCAAATGCTCTCACTTTCAGAATAGTGAAAAAAACAGTAAAATATATTTAACATTTCATAAATATTTTTACGGCATCGAGAAGTTTTAGGGTTTAAATCCATAATCAATGATGCTGATATCGAGCCAGTAAAAGATAGTATCCTGGCATTCTGCAATGGACTTCCTTGTATTTCAATATCAGCAGATACAGAGACTACTTTAACATTAACCAATTTATTGGTAACACAATTAATTCAATTTTGCAATCTTTAATTTGAAGCATTTGTTTGCAAAAAGAAAATTTATGAGATAAAAGAAAATACAAGAATAATTAATAAAATATAGCAGTACAAATACCTTGGTATTAAATCTAGTATTTTTTCTTCATTTAATTCTATCGATATGGAAGAATCTGACATGTTCAAATATGCTCCATTTACGGTTAAAACTGTAATAAGAAATAATTTTATCATACAAACAGCTTATGCTATTGCTGTAATAAAAAGTGGCTGACCAATTCTGCTTTAGATTATTGCCACGTCACAATAATTAAAAATATTGTAGTTAAAGAATTTTCTTGATAAATTATATTAACATGGTCACACCAAACATTAACTCTGAAAAGCTCTCAAATTAGAAAAATATAATAAAATGTTGGTTTTATCACTAAGCAGACACAAAAAGTTATTGTGATATTTGAAATAATGGTCGATTTGGGTAAATTGTGCTACAATCTAAAATCTAAAGTGTTCATTTCCATGTGGATGTACTGAAAGTGCAATGCATAGTAAAATTTGTGTATATGTTAATAGCTGTTAGCCGTTAAGTCTGTTGTGCAACAATGCCCCAAAAAATGGTTGAAACATCCCTTGTCACTAATTGAAACTGAGTCTTTTTTTTTACCCAGTGCCAATGACATCCCATGACTCATTTGACTCATGACACTGTCATTAAGTATAAAGCTTAAAAATATAGACTTAATGTCTGAACCATCGTAAATTTTAAATGGATTTCTTCGATTATGAACAAACTACTTAACTCTGGTTGCACAATTAAATATTCCAACGAATAAAAAAGTTCTTTCTTGAAAAATTTGACTATTTACTTGTAATTTCGACTGAGTGGAGGACAACATGGCTTTTGACGGTGATGCAGACGGACCTTCAATATCACCTGCACCTGACGTCTTTCTCCCTTGCAAATATTTCAAATCACGAAACATTCGAAAAAGAAAGCTTAAGTCTTAAGTGAAGAAAAATAGGCTAATGATCGCACATTTACAAGGATACACTCATTTTTCAAAGCACTGATTTAACATTTTCAAAGCACGGATTTTTCATCCTGTAGGCACATTAAAATAGGCTCTGTAATTAAACTAAAACTTTCATATCTTCTTTATATTATAAATAATTTAACAAGCAACATCAGTTCACATTGGACGTTTCCAACTTCAAGAAGTTCAAGTGTATTGACAGTACTCTCATCGGCGCTATTGCACTTACGCCTCATCATTTTCATAGCATTCATAATCATATGATCAGGAATTAGAATTATCATTTCTCCCTTTCTAATAACTTACCTGAAAGTAGCAATACTGGCAACAGCGCTATACGTCTCCTTCCGAATTCCATGTTCTCTTTTGTCGGGTTTCAAACAATCAGGTGCTTTATCAACAAAAAAATAACTTTCTTCGCCCGTGATGTCCGTACTCCATTTTGATAAACATCAAGTCATATGACCTGTTCGGGTCATGTGATCTAAGAATTATATAGATTCCAGGGGCGCGATGCAATAATTGTTACCCTTGTGACTTGTGCGGGTGTCTTATGGACACAGATCACTAAAGATTTCCCCATTGACTCCAATGTTAATTCTCGTATCTTAGACCGGCTCTAACTTTTTCCCAAATTTTCGTTGGGTAGAACGCTTTCTACCACAGATGGAGCAACATGTGGCAACCACTTGCCCAAAAGCACGTATGAGGTTCTTCATGAAAAACTTGAGATACACAAGCTGGAAGTAGAGACAAATAAACATGCAATTTCAGGCCCTACATTTCAACGTAACCAACCTCTCAACTCTTGTATCCTTCCGCATCAAAATTATGAATATTCACCAAAACCTGGCAGAAAATGTATTTTCAAACCCTTTTCCTCAATTCTACACCAAAAAGTCAACAAAAATCGCCATGCAAAAGGGGGAAAAAGGAAAAGGGAGAGGAAGACTAAAAATAGCTTTGGCCCTTGTTTGTGACGGCGTAGGAATATTTGGTGATCTGTGTCCTTATGCGGTACGCATTATGCCAATCGTTTGCTCAAATCCACACGTACTCATTACTTATTTATGTTTTGATATATTGTTACCAAGGGTTCGATTCAACGGTTTATTCAGATATAACAGAAACCCTGAAATACATAATAAATAAGACTAAATATATATAATAATACATATGTTGAATTGATAAAATCTATCTCTATACACAATTACAAATTAATAATAGCATCATAACTTTAGTAGTAGAAATATACATACTAGATACATGCTACATAGGCCTATCTATAAATCCATTTTACTTAATCACTTAAACGCGATCTTAAATACTGCCTATATAATTAACTTCATCCTGCTAACTTGTATGACAGCTACAAGTTAAAGTATATGTATGTAATAATACCAATCTAAATAATCTAAATAACTAAACACTTAATAAGTAGCTTACCCTAGAGAGGGGTTTTGCTGGCTAGACAGACTGTCAAAGGTGAAGTACCTTTGAAGTATCTGTAATAAAATATATGAATGTGTGAATATGCAATAGATGTTTAAAAGTATATTTGAATGAAAGTGGTGAAATGTATAATATACTAACTATAAACCATTACTAAACCCAAGGAACTTTAAATTTTACTAAAAATCCAATATGTCTGACACTATATGTCCAACATGACCAAGACTTTGAAAACTATGATAAAACTACATAAAACAATATAATACATACCCTACCTGGCAATCACTGGAACTATTGAATACTTTAATCTAACTTCTATATAAACTATATTAGAAATGAAATATCTAAAACTAGCTAATTAAACTATGACTATACAGAAATAAGTTGCAATATGGAGAACTGAAAATAGTCAACCTATTGCCTCAAACTCTATTACCTAAGTGTCCAAACATTCCCTGGATACCAAATCACCTGACCACAATATACTCAGGTTCAAAGGTTAAAACCAAGACAAGATACCAAAAGTGAGAAGAAACTCACTCTAACTTAAGATAGTGGATAGAAAGTCGATAGAAACACAGGATAGCTAAAGCTAGTGAAGTGGAACATATTATCTAACATTTAAAACTTAGTATTGGTGACTTTAAAATGTTCCCCAATAAAATCACTCTCCCACATACTTCCCCCCTAATGCAAATGTTGTCCCCGACATTAACCATATTCGACATCCGATCACAATATGACCTGGCCGTCTCCAACACCAGCTAAAATTAAATACATCCGGAAACAAGGACTTGCATAAACCTGGCAACATAGTTAGTACGACCTGCAACCTATCTGGTGACAAACTCATGAAATCTGGTGGTAACAGCGATCTTGCCAGTTCAGCACGCAACTGTAGGGTAGAAGGTACCGAAGATGCTGGTTGCTGTGACATGACATAATCTTCATACCGGAGCGGTTGTTTTCTTTCTCTTCCCGATCTTCTGGGCTCCGGGTCATCTGGCTGTGAATTTTCCTCTGACACTTCAGAAACAGCTGAGTCTGGTGGTTCAGGCCTGCTTCCACCATCTTGAACACTGGTGTCGATCTCAGCTTGTCCTTCGTTCCCATCGTGTACCTCAGTGGTGCTAGCAGGTTGCAAGTAGGTTGCATCCTCCACTAAGTACACCTGATCCTCATCTTCTTCACTACTGGATGACTCTTCGGGTTCTGGTATTACCTTTGGTTGTCTAGTTCTTGGTCGTGGTACTGGTCTTGTTCTAGTGTTGACATCTGGTGAAATTTCCGGTAACGTACTGATGGGTAAAAGATGGTTCCTGTGTAATGTCCTTTTCCGACCATTTCCACCAATCGCTTGTAGTTCGTAAACCGGTATGTCCTTGTTTGGCTGTCTCAAAATCTTACATGGCTTATCCTCCCATTTATCTGCTAGCTTGTGTCTGCCCTCTGGAAAAACTAGGCGTTTCACTAAAACACAATCCCCTGGTTCCAACACATTTATCCTGGCTCTTAGGTTGCATTTTTTCCGCTGAAGTTCCTGCGTATCCTCCCTAAAAGCTGATGCTGTAAGATATGCGAGTAGTTAGGGCCTGGGTATAGGGACGATGGCGCGCATGCGCAGAAGCCCTAGCAACGGTGTTGCGCATGCGCAGGTCACTTCCTGTGTCCCTAGCAACGGCCACTTCCGGTGATGACGTCATAAGATGACGTCACTTCCGGCGATGACGTCATAAGATGATGTCACTTCCGGTGATGACGTCACTTCCGGTGATGACGTCACTTCCGTTTCCGGCGATGACGACATCCATAGCAACGGTCACTTCCGGTGATGACGTCATACGTTAGTGACGTCATACGTGACATGACGTCATAGGGATTTCCCTCGGGGATTTCCTTTTTCTCGGGATTTCTCTCGTCCTTTCTGTGCTTGGGTCTTGGGCCCCTTTTTCGGGGATTCCCTCGCCCTTATCGTGGGGACCCCCTTCCCTTTGCTCTCTCGTTCTTTCTTGGGATTGCCCTCGGGGATTCCCCCTCCCTTTGCTAGTTTTCTCTCGTCTTTTTTGGGGGGTGTTCCCTCGCCCTTTCTCGGGACTTGCTCAGTGGGGTTCCCTCGCCCTTTCTGGGGAGTTCCCCAGCACGCTTTCACGAAAAAGACTTTTTAATAACATTTTTAATAACATTTTTAATAACATTTTTAATGAATAGAACAATCGAACAATCGAACATTAGAACAAATCAACAATTGAACGTATTTACATTTTTGAAAAAGAACAACACGTTTGTCCACCCAAACGATTTAAGGATGGAAAATGATTTTGAGCCCATTGGTTCACCAGCACATCATTTTGCCGGGTATTGGTGCCAAACAATTGCAGGCACCGTTTCGAATGGCAGATAAAAAATAAACAGTAATGTCCACACACAAAACTCGTTAAACTCTGTAACCATTGGGGTTGATGGGTAGTGGGTCCGTGACGTTGACTGAAATCGGCAAAGGCTTGTCCATAGGTCTCGGGTGGGCATCCGTAAGAATCAAAAAAATACAAGTGTCCAGGTCCTTCACACATAAACACGGTCCAGTGGGTGCCGGGGTCTTGTTCGTCGTCGGTATTGACAATGTAGGCTAGAGGATAGGTATGGGGTTGCAGTTGGTACAGGTGATTCCGGGACCAGACGCCACCAAAGACGTCCGAATGATGACGCAGGGCCTCTTCCAATTGTAACGTGGATAAAGGACTACCAATCCATGATGATTTGGTGGTTACAATCGATTTCCAAGACATTGTCGTATTCGGCAAACATCATAAGATTGAGAGCGTTAGTGGGGGCTGCCGAGAAGCGTAGTTCTAGAGACAGGTTACCCGTGGTTCTGGGATGTGAATAGGCCCGGTCTGCTCCTCGGTCGTTGGTCAAATCAAAACAAAACAGCGTGTAACCCTTGATATAATCGTGGAAACTGAGATCCAAATCTTCTCGGGTATTGAGAACACCCACACGATTCATTAAATCCATGTACGGTGTGATGGCCAATTTATCGCCAAAGTTGAGATCGGCATAATCATCCACGACTATTCCATCTATGGTCAATCGAATGTGCTTGAGGTTATGATGATGAAATCGGAACGGGTTCCTGGTATTATGCCCATCGTAAGCTCGGTTACTGACCAACCCCACAAATAGACGCGCGGGTAAGGTTTCGTTGATGAACAGATTGTCCAGGACGTGACTGGTACGGTTACTCGGCACAACCACATCTCTGACGACCATGCGTTTCAAGGGATACTTGACATTGGTGGTTTTGAGTTGGTTGTTAATCCGTGTGTACGTGGTGGGAGAAAGGGTGACGAACGGAATTTCCAAATAAGCTTTGATGAAATCAATCTTGTAGGGTCCTTTATTGTCGGCATGCATCAGGAAAAATTTAGAGGATTGTTTTTCCAAACTCAGACGTAGATCGACTTGGTCCACTAAGTACCTCTCTTGTAGAAACATATCTAAATGCAACCGTGATTGTAATTCCACCACCTGGCTCTGCGAGATGCGTTTGTAGCGCTCCATCAACCCGGCATTGGCAGGTTCGGGGGCCTCTGCATTGGCTTTGACGGGTGAAGCTTGATCAAATTCGCCGGCTGTATCCTTGTGCCACAGGACTTGTCGGTCTAAATGGTTCGTCTTGGCTTGTTTTCCATAACTCAGTAAATTCTCTAGGTAAGCTCGATAGGCGTAATTGGGTAGAGGAGACGTGACCAAGGTATCAGAAGCTTTTCCCAGCCGCAATTTCACATCTTTAAACAAAGAGTGCATCCAATTATTCACGGGAGCCACGGGTTCGTCTACCGGTAGATTGGTACCATCCTCTTTCACCACCTTGAGTTGCAGGTATAGGGTTGTATTGGCCAAATCGATGAAATCCATACTGGCATTGTTCACCAGAAATTCAATCGGTCCATCGTGATTCAGATCGGGTGTGATGGCGTATTTGCGTATTTTGGTTACTCGGGTAATGGCCGTGTGTGTGTCGGGCACTTGGAACAATTGTTCCAGTTCATCGCGAGCACAAGGACAGGAATCGTTACGCATTGCTGAAGCCATGATCGAAGATGTCGGGCCGAGGACGTTTGGCTCGTGAAATGACGCCAGTGGATTTTCCTTTCCTTTTTATAGAATTTTTGGTTTTGGGCGGTCTGGTGTCTGTTTGTCGGCGTCGGGATTTGGGTGTTTGGGAGGACATGACATCGGCTAGTGTTTGTCGGAGACGTGGTTTTATGGTGCGCTGGAACACATTCTTCAAACTCTGGCCCACACTTTGTTTTCCCGATATCACACCAAGGGCTGCTTTTCCCAATTCTCCAAAAGTCTCTTGGTTCAAAAAATTGGTCTTTAAGGCGTTCTTTCCAGCTTGCAGAAAGGGTTTCGCCAAGTTCAGTAACCCCTGTAAACGCCCTGCGCCCTTTTGCCGCAACACACCTCCCCGGTAGACGTTGATGGGCGTGGGCGTCTTCATGTTGGCGCCCTTTTGGCGTAACACACCACGATAAAATTGCATTATGCTTTAAATTGCTTTAAATTGCTTTAAATTGCTTTTCGTCGGAAATGTAGTTTGACGACGACTTTTCCTTGGGTGAATGACACTTTATGGCCAAGACCGTTTCTTATATAGAGGCCAATGGTGGTGATGCTGTCGTACTTGAAGGGCTGATAATGGATGACCGTTGGGCGATGATAACCGTGAGAACTTGGAAAGACATCCAACAAAGGCGCCACCATATTCCCCACCCGTTGGGGTTCCAAGAGATCTGCATACAGATAAAACATGGTGTGTCCCACATTGATGTCAAAGGTTTCCGGGGCCACGATGATATCCCTCTGTTTGAAAGACGTTAAATGGTCCAATCGGGGCATAATCGTGGTCTCGTGAATCCATCCCAAGGAGGATACCACGGGGCCCGTCAACTTCAACTGGAGAAAGGGTATAAGTTTGAGATATTTAAAACCGTCTTCCGTATTGATCTGCAACTTGACTTTTTTCGTGACTTGGTCCAGCACGAAGGATAAGATCGGTTCTTCTTTGATGGCTTTGCTGTAGGCATCTATTTTGGCTTGGTAATTCTTCTCGTGTTCTTTTTCGATTTCCGTGAGTTCGGGATTGTCCGGATGTCTTCGTTTAGGTTTGGCATGCAACGTTTCGAGCGTCACGTGATCTTTAAACAAAGCGCGTATAAGCGAATTTATCTCAGCCAACAAGTGCTGGACACTGTTGTACGTTCCTCCAGGAATAGGATACTTTTTCATCTCAACCTTCGCGGGCTCTTCGGTCATATTCCATTTGTCATTCTTCGGTATGTTGTCTGGCCTGTGTACCTCTGGATTATAGGGTGCGATCATCACCATCATAAGACTAATTTCGCTACTTCCTTCCGAGAGATTGTTCCACGTCGTGGGAAACGACACGGAAGCCAATCCCACTTCCCAATCTCGGTGGTCCAAATCGATGGGAGAATTCAGCAGCGTACGGTAACTGGACATTGTGTTGTCGGGATACACCTTCATGGAACTGTCACTAGGCAATGTGAGATAAAACTGGCGGGGATTTGTCATTTTTGGGGGTGGTATTGAGGGCTGGCGCCGGAAGCAGATAGCCAATACTACTGGACAGGAGGGCCGTCCACAGGGTGGTTTGGGGACCTTCGGGGCGTGTGGCTAACTGGGCTAAAGCGACACCTGCCACCACGTACACTAAAATCACTTGACAGAAAAAGACAATTTCCGCTTGCGGGATGCGACTGCCAAAACAAGACCAGTGACGTCGATGTTCGGAGAGGGACGTAGAAATCGTTGACGTGGCTTCGTCTTGTGACATTGTGACATTCTCTGGGACACATCGGGACTATTTATAGACAACGGCGCTCTTGGGTATCCAGGAATTGAAGCTAGCAGGGTATCCCAACCATTTGACCAACATTTCGCCACGGCGACGATCCAACACACGTTCAATGGGAAACTCTTCGTCGGGATCCGTTCGCACCCTTTGTAATTCTTGGGGATAAAATGTTCCGGCGATAGGCTCGCCACGTTCATCCAATAATTTATACGTCGACCCACTCTGTCGATCCACTCGAAACGTTTCCAGGGTCCAGTTGGGCCAATAGCCTTTGTCGAACGCCCCATGTTTGGGTAAGGCCAAACGGACGGGCGTTCGTCGAGACAATCGGGCTGGAACTACCTTGGTTTTCTTGGAAGTGATTTGCCATTCTTTGTCCGGGGTCATCTCTTTGGGGGCCATGCCAATAGTACGATGTCGGGCCCCGTTGTATGCCCTCACCAAATCGGACAGTACATCGATATAACGTTGTGTGTTTCGATACGTAAAATAACGCCACATGCGTTGTTTGAGCGTGCGCTGAAATCGTTCAACCACACTGGCTTTGGTTTCGACATTGTGCGTGACGAAAAAATGAATCTTTTTCTTCTTCAGGAAAGCTTGAACATGTCGATTGAGAAATTCGGTTCCTTTGTCTGTTTGCAGTCGTAGCGGAATACGCTTTTGTATTAAAACGCTCTGTAAAGCCTTCAACAACGTGGGACCTGTTTTATTCTTGAGTGGCACCACCCAGGCATATT